TCCTTTTCTTTCTAATTTACTTTTTTTAAAGAGACCGTTACTTTTAGACGCCAATTTCAGAGTAGTTTAAAATAGACTTTGTCCGACAGAATACGGGTATATGTGGGAGGCAAAACATATCGATTAAAAGAATTGATGTTGGGAAAATCGTAATCAAGACTATTATTCATGTCTCCACTGCTGGTCGGTAGGCAAACTCGGTCACCATAACGTCAATAAGGTTTTGACGCCCTTTCCATGGGAGAATGAGGAAAAGAGTAAGAGTAGGAATAAAAAATACACAAAGGCCTATAGTCAGGGCCCAATTAGATTATATAGCCGGAGCGTATTTAACGACGTCAAATCCCCAAACAGTCGTAAGATAGCGATCGCGACGTCGGAAATAAATCGATAGAAACTTTTACGTTCACATTACTTATTTTACTTGATTTCGTTGGAAAGCGGCGGAGCATCTCCTCTCTCACCTCTATTTCTATTCTCCATATTTTTGTATATCCTTCCGGGAAAGGTGAATAGTTCGGCTCTTCTTTATATGCACTATGTACACTACAGTGCATATTCTTGTTTCTGCACGTATTGTATGCATTAGACGTCCGTTAACAATGGAGACGCCCAGTGCACCTGCAAAACTAGTTTTCAACCGCAGAATCAATGTATCGATCTCTTCATTCTCCTGTAGACTGCCCTTCGGTTTTTAGCAGTAGTGCAGATTTGTATTTGTTTACAATCATTTTTCAGCAGAGATTAGTTTGATTTAACTTTTTATCTTGGTCTATTAAGTATCAATGTGTAGTTTACTCTAGGCCTAAACACTTATTTGCATTGTCACGCCTTTGCAGTATATAATGTATCTAATACTATAATGTATACATTATAGAACAGTGTATATGGATAAAATGTTCCGTATTCTGTATACAATGTTATATACATGCAGTATATATGAGATTGCGCCCAATATGAAATTGTGTATTGTTAAAGTATTGCAGTTTTTTCTTTCACACAATTGTTGCAGTATTTTCTGTATAATATCAGTTCCGAAATGGTTGAGTGATTGAAGAACGATGCGGGCGGCGAGCAACCCTTTCTACTGTACTGTTTCTTTTTTTTTTTAATTAACATCCGCCGCCCCTTTTAGGCCTAAGACAAGTATTTCTTCGTTCTAAACCTAATTAAAAAGAAATGCATTAATTCCTTCATTCCGTAAAAACGAATTTGAAGACAGATTTTAATTTATAAATTCTCTTCTTACTGCAGCCTTCCGTTATATTCTATCTTTCCTCACTTTTTTCTTTTTTTTGCAGCGTCACTAGACTGTGGCGTTTCCTATTTCGTCCGAATTTTCCGCTCGATTTGTTTGTATAGTTGAAGCTAACGAGCACAGACGCGATTTTTCTTTCCACATAAACTACATAGAAGGTTATTTCATAAGAAGCACGTGACTATAATCATGTGACAAACGTACCCTCTCTTAGCCCGCAGGAGCATCATATGTGCTAGCCGAGACAAATCCGATTCATTATAAAAGAATAGTAAAAGAAAAGGCGACGAGTTGGACGAAGAAAGAATATAAGAGCACGAGGGGCGTGGGAAGGCGGGCGAGAGGGGGGGGGGAAGGAAAACAATTCTTTTGTTTTCATCTTATTTCTTTCTTCGCTTTCCTCTTTCTTTCCTTTTTTTTAGGTTTCAATTCTACAAGTCTACTTTTAACCTCCACCTCAATTTTCATTCGCATAGCGCCTAGTTTTTCCTCTTTTTATATTTTTCCTTTCTGTATAGAGGCTCTTTTCATTGGTACTGAATTTTCATAATTATCATTTTGCTATTTTCACCTTTTCATAAAACTATTTCCATTACAAAAGTAGAGCTAATGTATTAAGACTAAAAATGAAAAGTAAACATATGGACGTGACGCATGCGGTCATTGATCTCTTTAAAATTAGTACCGTTTTCTTTAATGATGATAAATTAGCCCCACAAAAAAGGAGTAATGATTTTTTATTCAACTCTATGAAAAGGCAGGCTGGAATAGTTATTTTGCAGTGTATAACATTTAATATATAGAATCCATGAAGGTAATTAATACCGTATAAGTTGAGTACCAGTTGTAACATGCTCAGGGATTAATCAATAAATGTATACAGTCATTTTTTTGTGCCTTTTAAGCAAATGTTACAGGTTTAAATCTCATGCTTAATAGAGATGAAATAGTATCGGATTTAAGGATTAAAGGGGGGAAGAAAAGGAAGAGGTCTTTTTAATGAATAAGTTATTTAATTAAGAATAACTAGTCTAATGATCGATTGTCGTTTCTCAAACAGTCTAAAACGGCCAACGTTATTAAAGAATATTCAATTATATACGGCACATCCCATTTCGAAACATTCTTGATCGATATCCAACGCCTTTCGCCGAGATAAGCGTCGCTCGGGCCGTCGTCCATCGTATCTCTTTATCGAAATCGATTTTTCCCCCTTATACGGTAAGCTAAACTTTTTCCTTTTCCATGTAATTTTGTTTTTTTTCTTATTATTATAATTCCAATAATTTTTCCGTTAGTTATTCATTTAGTTTATCTATTATTAATAATAGAAAATTTACAGTTCGTAACCCAGTCTTTAATTCAATGTTATTCTATTATTTGTTTATTTATTAACTCTTTCTTTGATACGAAGGTCTGCTTAATCAAACGTCAATCGCCTCCCTTCTTGCAGTCACGGCCGACGGAGGAAATGAAAAGATCGATCGACGCGAATATAAATGGTACAGAAATTCTCCCCTTTCTCTTTTCGACAACTGCAATAGCGATGAGCAATATCGAATTAGGCTCGCGGCCATAACTCTCTACTTAATACTTTACATAATTCCGCTTGCCTACTGCAGAATTTGACGGAATATATATGCTTTATGTGAAAAAGCTTATAAAAACACATATAAAGCCTTTATATATTTTTTATACATAGTATATCCTGACATGGTATACTAATATGCATTCATATATAAATTATTCTTTTCCTTTCCTTTCTGTTCCCTCTTGCTTTCCCATTCATTTCTCTATCTCTAAGAAAACTTGGCTGTATAAAGCTCGAAATTACAGAATCAATACGAATTGCGTACCCGCTTCACTATCCTGTCTACGCCTTTCTTTCTCACTCCTCTATCTTTCCCGCGTAAGTGCAAAAGGTCGTAGACGCTTTTTTCCAGTTTTCCAGTTCCTTAGATAAGACGCTTATGTCAATAAAAAAAATGGTAAAAGTGGGGAGGAAATACCCGAAAATTTAAGTAAAAAAGGAATTCACCGAAAAGGAAACGACATTAAAAAGAATCTTGGGAATTCTTTTTCTATATTTTCTATATGTCATATCTGTAATTATCCCTTGGAAGATTATAGGCCGAAGGTGATTAGTAGCTATCGGATTGCATATATTTGACAGGAATCCCACCATACGTCGGTCTAATAGGCCTATAATTGTACTAGAGTGACTCTATAAGAGTTACGATTCTGCTTTTTTTCATTGATGCTTTTCACAAACGTGACATTCTGTTGTTTCATAATTTACTTGTTGCCTTAAAGAAAACTTTCTTAAAGTAAAAGTCATAAAATGAGAAATAGGCCTATAAAAATATTTCCGTGCAATATTGTATTCACAATTGGAGTTAATTTCTTTTCCACTTTTTTCCATACAATGTAATTCAAAAAGTCACGTGATGTTTTAAATAAAATGTTAAAATTAAACAATACATGCAGGCGCACCAGCCGTTTATGTCCAACAGTTTTCATATAATACAATGCTGACGGAAAAGTCTTCATCAGAACACTTGCCCGCCAAATGATCGTCTAGACGCCGCAAATAATTAAATGTATAGGCAGACAAAGAGTTATGCAAACGATTCTCGATTATCGAAGCGTCTCTTTGTTTAAATAGGCATATAAGGCAGAATAACTATAAAAGACCCCTTTTTCCTCTTAATTCAAGAATAATGGAATAGGCGTGTAAAAATCTGGGATGACGATTTCGAAATAGATGTTCGACGTTTTTTACATTGATCTGTATATAGGTCTATATGCATAAATTATAATATGAACTAGTCTATTTATGGAACAATTTATTGGGCGTCGTCAAAAATCGATGAAAGAAGCGCTGAAAAACAAGTCAATTAGGCCTAATTGTATAAACCGTACCCTCTTCGTACCAGAGATTACCATGGTAATAGGTAAAAACAAGGCGCCAGGTGTCGTTTTTGTGTAAGAATTATGAATGATTAAAAGAGACGCTTTACCTGGCTAGGAAAAACTATCGAACGCTTTGCTAGATGTTTGCTAGCAGTAAACATAGCATATTCTGATCGCGAATTCATGCAAACGAAAATGACGAGACGCTCGCGACCCTAATAGCGTAATTAGACGCCTAAAAAGTAGGAGATGCTCGCGGCGGCGTTGTAAGATTCGTTAGTTAATTATCAGCTAGTTTAAGTGGCTTTGGTCAGAACAAAGTAATTGCACAAAAGCGTTCGAATTAGCAATAAATTCTCGAAAGACGCGCGAATAAACCGTCCAATTAGGGGCGTCGGTCCGTCGGCGATAAATTAATAAAACATATCGAACGAGATTCGAATCGCAAAAATTTCCGAGTCTAGCAAACAAGCCTCAATTATTCGCGCCGTCAACTTTCTCGAACGCTTCGGCGAACAGCGTCTCCGAGTATATTTTTCTAACGCATAAGTTTAACGTCTACTCACACGTGTCAAGTAGAGGAAGAGTATAAGGTCCGACGAAAAGCAGCGTCTTTTTTCAATTGACGCCCATAAGCGTCTAACGTAGTTAGAAAGCGGCACGAAAAAGTAGTGCGGTCTCAATGGTATCTGTACGCGTACTGCAAATAATCCGTTGCGGAACCGTGCGCCACTTTATATGCGGCGTCACTTCCGGTGTAACTACGGTGACGAAATTGGCAACGCCCTAAACGTTTATACAAGCCTATTCTAGATTAAATGATAAATTTCTTAGAAGAAGAAAAAAAAAGAGAGGAAAATTTTCCGAACTAATTTCGATTTTCCCATCACGAATCTTGCTCCCTTTCGCAATCATCATCAAATTCTAAGTTTTTTTTTATTGTTATTCTAAAAAGGTGAATATTCCTTAAAAAATCAATTAGTAGATAGTTTTAAAAAATATAGAATTAATTAAAATATAAAACGAGGAAATATAACCAAAGGACACAAAACAAAAAAGAGAAAACACTAGTAAATAATATACATTTTTCATTCAGTAGGCCTACAATGCAAGTTTGCCGTCCCACCGCCAGATGGCATTAAACATCAGCTGCTCGGCAAATCGAAGCAACGTCCCTATCCGAATAACCTTTTGCCTTCGCGACTTTCAAGAACTGATATAAAACAAATAATATCGTTAATTTACGGAAATAAATAATCAAATGATAAACGGTCTAATTATAGCGCATCAATTCTCAATTAATATAAATTATATTACGAGGTGGCGCTGTCAAATAGGAATTCTATTTGTTTCTATTACTGAAAACAACGGATTATTCTTACTTCATTAACTGCACTAGTCACGTGCATAGGTTGATCAATCGAGTTTGCCATATCCATAACTAACTGCACATCCTTTTGCAAATGTTTCAAATGGAAAGTTGGTTCAAAATGACTGAGAAGCATATCTGAGAGAAAACAAATAATAAAGAATGATTAATTCTTCTTTAAGATTAGAGAAATTGCTTAATCAATAAGACTGATTGTTTCTTTTACCGTTTCCTTTCGATGATAAAAGTTCACAGTTAGCAGTAGTGTGTCGAAGAACTTGAATCACGTGGTCCTGATCTAATCCTGACTTGTCAGCTAATACCAAACTTTCAGCCAGTGCTCCAAGCATATTCGCCTGAATAATCGACATAATCAACGCCATTTTTGTTCCATTTCCGATTTCGCCTGAAATTGAGAAGCCGTGTTAAGAAATATAACGGAGAAACGAGTGCCATTTCTCTTCCGGTCAGGTGACACACAGCGGACCTATTTTTCTCTCAATTCTAGAGTTTATGCTATCTTCTTTCTTTTAGTTAAATTACTTTTTTTTCTCACCTAAAAAGAACCATTTCTTGCTCATAGCCTCAAAACAAGTGAAACAATCGTCATAGAGCGACCTATCGCCGGACGCCAGGATGACGAGCTGGCCTTCGGATGCCAATTGCTTATTTCCGCAGACGGGAGCGTGAAGAAAATTACCGCCTGCCGACGTGACCGCCTGAAAAAGATTCTTAATGAAAAAAAAGAAAACCTCAAATAATAATAGTAAATAGAAATTTCTAGGTCTTTTCCCCGCTTCCCTCTCTTTCTTATTTAATCCCCTCTTTCCTATTCGCATTAACCAGAAAACGGATTTGTTTTAATAAAAGAAAAAGCTGGTCTCAAAAGGTCTAGACAAAATTAAAATTCTAACATCATAAATATGTCTTGTAGTTGTGACATCAACAGTTGACATATCCACAAAGCCTTTTCCGTTGCTGATTCCTTTCAGAACTCCATTTTTGCCGAAAACAAGCTATAAAAACAGAAAATTAATTAGAATGGAATATAAAAGATAGCCCACGGAGAATATCTATATGTAATTATGCATGAACATGCAAATACAAACAAGAAGTAGGTTTTCAGTAGAAATAGAGGGCGAGGTTAAGGCTATATTTGGTACTTCAATACTTAAAAGTTTAATTAAGTAAAAACTTTGACATCACATTTAAGGAGAAGTCAATTTTTTAAATAGAGCCACTTGCTTAGTGAAATCCGTATTGAAAAACCGTCCTAATTGTTTGTTAAGCTATAGAAAAACCGAGCATTTTTTTTCAACGTACAATTCTTTATACACATAGATATATGGCTAAGTATACATTACTGATAAAGCAAACAATTGAGTAGTGCACTCGAAACTATACGCTCTCCACTAATTTTCCTCCATTATATAGATAAAGGCTTCAAAATAAACGGAAATATGAACAGGATATTTCCAGTTCGTTCTACTTATTTAAGTCTTAGAACTAGTGCACTCATCTGTTTTTTTTCAAGAGGTCTCACAAACTTCCGGTATAAAAATTTACCACCTAAAGTCGATTGCCGAAGAAAATCGATTAATCGTTTAAGCTAAGGACTCATCATTAATTAATAAAATATTAACGACAGTTAGAATTTATTCTTAATTGTAGGGCGTTCCTAAGCAAATTACAAATAGATTAGAATTATAACAGATATGATTGTTTGCTTATTTTTTTTTTTCTAAGATAAAGTTGCTCTTATCCAATAATAAAAAGATTATTACAAGAAAAAAGTGATAACCTTGAGAGAACTTCGCTTACCTCTTTTAAGGCATCCGGATCAGAAACGCAAGAAAACGTTATATCACATCCACTTACAACTTCTTGTGCTGATTTTTCCAACAAAGCTCCAGCCTTTGTTAAGTCTTTGCACTGTTAAAGAATAATTTGGATGATAGTATTAGGATTCTTATTGCAAACTTCATATTTTATTCATGTTTTTAAGTGATAGGAGATGATCTAATTGGATCAAATGGGCCAATAAATAATGTGTAAGAATGAAGGAAATAGAGCAGTCCAATGGAAAAGTTTATTGTAAATCTTATATTGAGCTAGAGCTAATTTCCTAATTACAATTCCCAAATAGATAGAATTAGCACCCTACTCGATAATTTACTATTCTCAAAACGTTAATCGATTAATATCCGCTGAGCGCCAAATATGTGCGCATGCGCATATCACACAACCTTTAGCAGACGACATACTTCTGAACCAACAGTTTCTCCTCAAAAATTTAAAAAAGCCAATTTTTAAGACGATATTGGCGTTATCTTTGTTTATTAAGATATTCGGTGCTCGGCTAAATATTTAAAATAGCATATTAGAAGGGCGATCAGGTTTGTAAAGGATTTTTGAGATAATTATTTTTTAATAATAATTTGTTTTGATAAGATTCGTGCGTACTTGGAATTATATGTTATATGCGCATATTGTCTTGTTTATATGCTACTTAGAACGAAAACATTTACTAGAATTCCTGACAACAGAATTAAAATTAGCGCTAGTGACCTATAATATTCCTTTGTATTGAACAAAACGGTGAAAGGATCAAGAGACAAGCTGTCACTGTTGGATTTTTCAATTACACAATACGCTTGCGCCTTCTTATAATAAAAATCTGACGCCCTTCTCACAGATGATTTTACGCTGTAATTCACTCTTTTTCGGATTGTTTGCAAAGCTACCCTTTTTTGTATATCATTACATTGTATATCGATCGGTTGAAACGAATTCTTTTAAGTGAACAACGCGTCACTAGAAGACAAACGCTTATGGCGATAAGATAAGAAAAACAAAGCATATTCCAGCAGTAAAAGCTAATCAATTCTTTGTTCGTGAGTCGATATATGATAGCTACATAAAAATGGAACGCTGAGAAACGCCCTTGAAACGCATATTATAATAGATCGTTAAAAGCTTTATACAGTATAAAGTCTGGCGATATGAATAAATTAATGTTCTTATTAATAAATAAGTATAATCTGTCTAACTCAATAAGTCAGATGCAGGGCACACGTAGTCTAAATCGGTATCGAATATAAACAATATACAGTTATATAGGTCTAAAAAAATGTTATTCTTCCATTTCTAACAGATGCTTAAGGAAAAGCTGAGATGACATGGTTAAGGTTTGTGAAGAACGGCCAGTTATACTTCCTGTTCTTTATCATTCCGTCAATAGCGACAAACTTATGCCCAAAGGAATGCAAATGCTATAAAACAAATACTGCAGCGTGCAATTTTAGAATCAGTAAACTAACGAACAATTCGTTAGCTGGATTACCAACAGGATTAGCGGGACTCGACTTAAGCTCATCGAAAATTGATGAATTAGACCCGGAATGTTTCGGGAATCTAACATCACTTCGTTCTCTGAACATATCAAAAACATTTTTAAAAACTGTTCCCAATGGCATTTTCAAGAAATTACAGAACCTACAAGTTTTGAATCTAAGCTATAATTTGCTCAAAAATATTAACCTTCAAGATTCGACTGCAAGCCGAGTAGACCTCTCCTACAATCTTTTTAAGAATTTTGAAGTTTGTCATATGCCATTTGCAAGTCACATTACTCTACGCCATAATCATATTCAGAATATTGAATGTAATAATAGATCGAAACTAGTCGAATTGGATTTATCTGAAAATCATTTTAACAGCCTTAACTGGTCGAATTTTGATGGTTTAAACCGATTGCGATTACTAAATTTATCATCCAATTTCATCCGACATCTAACTCGAGGTTCGAAGAATCTAATCGATTTGCAAGAATTAGATCTGAGCCGTAATTCTTTCGCTGTCATTGATGGAGGTGACTTGTCCGCCTTTCTTAACCTTAACCGACTGCACTTGAATTATTTAAAGCGTCTAGAAAGAGTCTCGTTAGAGGGACTAATAGAATTACGTTATCTCAGTCTAACCAACTGCCCTTTGTTGGCTCACATAAATCCAACAAGCTTCGACGGTTTAAACTCTCTGGAGACGCTCGATTTGAGGAGAAACGCCTTGACTAGCATGACACGCAAGCTGGTAGAAAATCTATCGACTTTAGCGTCCCTTCAACTGGCTGGTAACAAATGGATTTGCGATTGCGAGATGACATGGATAAACGATGTCAATTTTCTAATCGACGACGCTAAATGCTCTAGACCTAGGCACTACGCTTCATTAAATCTTACGGAATCAACTGGAAATCTAACATGCTCAGAGCCAGTAATATTAGAGCACACAATAGTAGCAAAAAAGGCCATTGGAAAGTCGGTTATCTTGGAATGTCTAGTTACTGGAACACCTCGACCGAACGTTACATGGATATCAAATAGGGGGCGTCACATGATGTATCGAGAAGACCCCCAAACATCACACTCACCAAATATATGGCACAAAGCGACTTATTATGCAAGCCATCTAGACGATATAGAAGAAAGAGTGAAAGTGCTAAAAAATGGTAGCCTATTAATCGAATATGTTCTAAGAACGGACGCAGGAATATATTACTGCCAAGCAGGAAATGCAAGTGCCGCCGTTAGATTTCGCCTCGACTTTTCTATAATAGGACGCATTGAATTGTATACTTGTCTCATAGGCTTACTAACTGCTGTTGGAATGGGTGTTCTAGCGTTAGTAATTTCAATCATAAAATACTTGGCCTGGCTGTGTAGTAAAGAGCAAAGACAGAAAAGAAAGTCGGTAAAACAAATACTAACTTCGTTGGGCACCTATAAAAGCGCCAAATTCGACCAATTGCACGCTTATAAAACAGCTAAAATAGATGCTTTAAACAAATACAAAACCAGAAAAGTGTCTAAGATGAAGACTTATAAAAAAGCGACCTTCGGTACAATGTATGCACAAACCACTCGTATGAGGGTTTATTATCACGAGCAAGTAAACAGAATCAGGGAGCAGTGCCTACAGCAGTCATTAAAATTACGAGAATCTTATAAGAATATGGATTATGCTGGTAGATTGAGGGAACAGTATACTTGTCAGTTGAGTAAAGTAAGGGATTATAGCTCCGAACAGTTGTCCAAGTTGCACGCTCAATATAAAATCCAACAGCAACATTTAATTAAATTGATGGAATTACTAAACATGACAAGTTGCAAATCAGCAATAGAGGCAGAATGCTTAAGAACAGAAAGTCTTTTATTTGACTTCGATTTGGATTTTGACCAGCACGCTGTTCACGTTCCGCCAATGAAAATGGATGAATTAGATGAGGCAGATGCTGAATCATTGATGATGAATTCAGATCCGTCACCTCATCCCAAGCGTAAAAGACTACATAAAAAGCGACATTTGACTGACGAACATTCAGACGACGAAGACGATATACTAGTTGAAAATTACGGCCCCAAAGAAGACGATGGATCACATCTCAACAATGAATCAAGATTAAGAAAGAAAAGGAGGCAGAAACAGCATCGTACATCGGTTGTAGTTGAAATAGGTAATTATGGTACAAGACAAGAGGAGGACGAAGAGCTTCCTTGTTGTTCAGATAAAGTTTAAGAAATTTAAAGATATTGCACAAAATCACTATAAACACTTTTCTCGTTAATTATTATGCCAAAAACTAATAAGTTATCTTAATAAATACTGATTTATGTTTTAATAATTTAATTTTTAATCCCAATGGAAATGTCGCTTTTGTACTAGTTTTTGAGTTCGCGAGGGTTAGTGAAAGATAGAGCGAGACATGCATATATTCATTTCATTTTCACTTACCTTTGAATTACTCCTATTCCAAATTGTCACTTCGTGACCACTTCTTAATAAATTAGCAACCATGCCGTGCCCCATATTTCCAATGCCAAGAAATCCGATTCGTTGCGGTGTTGGTATAGTAGAAGTTGGGGTTGCAGTTGCCGCCAAAACTCCCGATTCTCTTTTAGGAGTTCCATCTCTGCTCGTTTGCTGTACAAGTTAAAAACATTTGTATTTAAAAATGTTTCAATCTTTTTTATCGTATTTACAGAATTAGTATCATCTTCTTCTACTCCCCAGGTAAATTTCGTGCTGTGACGCCTCATACTCTGAATAACAATTCAATGTCTTCATCAATGAATTATTCAAATACAATTTATAAAGAATCCTACATAATAAATTATTACTAGTCTATAAGAAAAAAAAAGATATAATATGCATGTTTTTACCGCTTCGGTTGAGGATTCGGCCAATTCTGATTTTGCTCCAGCAGTCTTTGACTTTTTAACTTCAGATGAAGCTGTAGATGTTACAGGTGATGATGTTCGTTTTGGAGGCTAGAATTTTTCAACACAAACAAATGTAGAAAATATTAGATATAAAATTAAACATTTAAAATTAATTACCCTGCCCCTAGGTTTTTTATCACGTTCTTTTTCTTCAACAAGAGAAAAGAAGGCTTTTTCGTCTGGAGATTTAAATGGCTGCAAAAATTGTTCTTTAAAATCACAACAATAAATATAAAGTTTTCATTTACTTCAAGAGGAGCATTTGAATCTCTTGTCTTTTCTAATTCTGCTACGGCATCTTTCAAGCTTTTTTTCGCATTCGTTGGAAGGAACTTATCTTTGTTTTCTTCATACGGATGAAGTTGGTCTTCAGCTATCCAGGCGCTATGCAAATTTGGTTTAACAATAATAGAGATCTATTATCCAATTTATACATACTAGTTTTTGCTACCAAAAAAATAAACGAATTTCTGCGATTTTTTATTATGTGATTTCTTAACTTCTGAGTTTGGCGTTACGATCTGGACGTTTAAATTGTTTAAATTAAACATACGAATATAAAGAACAGATCAAAATTTAAAAGCGTCACTTGGCACTCAGATATACAAACCTTCCCGGGCCATTCTCGATATCCTTTCATCTTCGCCCTGGAAAATTAAAATTTTTTTTCAATTAATTTTTATTTGTTATGTAATGATATACACTTACCAGACATAATCGTTTTGTTTAAGCGACATTTTATCCAGATACCGCTCAGTAACTTTCCGGATATCCTGAAAAGTACAACTAATATCCAGACGGAGTTAGGATTAGCAGCATATCGGGAAATGACTACATGTTTCCTTATCAAAATTTGGTCATAGTGATCTAAAGCTAGGAGAAATTACAGAAATTATGATTGTAAACTGTCATAGATTATTTTTTTTTATAATTAAAGGATTAAAAATGATTTAGTGCCTGCATTTTGCGATATATTTTATCAGTTTCATGGAAACGATGGTATATATACCACTCGTTTTCATCATAGATAGAACGAAATGGCAAAAAATGGCGCTTTAAAAAAAATTCGTTTTTTAATTTCAATTTTTTAGCTGAAATTGACTTGTTAGATTGTTTTTTTCAGCTTATTATTACAAATATATATATGGCTATTCGTTGAATGCTTTAGTTTTGACCTGAAACTCCACTTAGTTGAAAACATTAGACATTTATTTTCCTTTTAAAAGTTAAAAAATGATTTTACTCACAAACCAACAGCTCTATATGAAAATAGTTATAGAACTCACGTCTGTTCATATTTTTAATTTAGTGCTATATCTCTTTGTAAAATACATTGAAAAATCGAGAATGTACATATATTTGTTTTACAGTTGAGTAATCAGGAGAAAGCGTTGAATTTTCTTAACATATTACAGATTTTAAACTAATAAAGTACAATTAATTAAGAGGTTATTTTAAAAATAATCAAAATGGATGAAAATAAAAATACTCGTGTTAGGAAGCGGGTTTTTAAAAGAACTGCAACACCGACATTTTCTCCCTTAACTTCAGAAGATAGGGACAGAATTTCAGTACTAAACAATCATAAAGATCAAAGATTTGTAAACAAGGAACAAAGACGGTTAAGTAAATCTCCAGAGGATGTTTATGAATTTCAATCACCAGGTTCTCCAGTTAGGAAAGCTATTAGAAAGAGAACATTTAAAAGACATATACCCAAAGAAATTACTTATAATTATAGAGGTGTTTATGCAGATATTTCACCTGATAGATTTAATAATCAATACGATCAGAATGAAACATTTGAAATTATATCGAAAAGTCACAGAAGAGTGAGTGCTGATCAAACCATTGACTCGGTAAACGGAACTTTTACACAATTAAACGTTCCATGTAGTTCTTTTATAGATAACTTAAAAGAGCGAGGTGAAGAATATAAGGAAAATTTGCCATGTGTCGATAGTGAGAAATTAAGAGGAGACTTTTCAAATGTATTTGTAAAAGAATCATTAGCTTCTAAAATTTCTAAAAAAGATGGTAAAGAAAATGTACTCCAAATGACTATTTCGTCAGAAGTTAATTTAATAGATCCTATTTCGAAGAAACTAAAAGGAAGAAGAATCTCTTTAAGAAAAGATATATTAGAAAATCATCCAGTAAATGAATTAAATCGTGATCCAGGCTCCAGTGATAAAAAATCAAAGAAATTGCCTGAAAGTATAAATAACGATTCGGATGCTGATATTCAATTTCATATTAGACAAAATGTGAGAAAAATTGATATTAATGATGTTAAAGATAATCTCTATGATAAAGTTACTAAGTCAGATTGTAATAAAGTTATAAAATCAGCAAAGCAGAAATGTAAGGCATCAATTCCGTTAATTAAACTATTCCATGCATTTAGTTCATCAATTTATCTATTTAGATGGACAGGCTTATCAAGAGAATTACCTTGATAATAAAGCGGATGAAATTGGCAACAGGTATTTATTAATTTGAATAATATCTTCGTTCTTTTTCAATTTTTTTCTTAAGTATATCGAATTCTTCTGACGAAGAAACTGAACTTCAAAAGAAAGATTCCCACGGTACATGATTTATTTGCAATGCAAACTATTTTAAATAGAGTTAACTTAATATTTTAGGTGATATAACAAATCTTATAAAATGCAATGATTCCGAATCTGATGGTGAAGATTTAGAAGTTTTTCAAGAGAGGCAGGCAGGTTAATAATCTAATAGACGTTATCATTTATGTTTAACTTGATATTGTAAACATGTTTTCTTGTTTCTTTTATCTTTATTTAGCTGTTAAATCAAAGTCTAGAAGAGAAATTAGAAAATCAACAGCTAAGACGGTTATTGATCAAGCTAAATATCACAGTTTCATATTATCTCTATCCGAAGAAGTTGATGAAAGTGAAAAGAAGAGGCATCCGGAAGCTATACGCTATGTAAAAGACTTTCAAAAGAATAAAAATGAACTAGCAAAAACTTTATTTCAAGAATTTAATAATAAAATATTTGACGGAAAATTGCCTGTTACAATGGATATAAGATGGAATAAGAGGCTATCTACCACGGCTGGCTATTGCAAGTATACCATTAATAGAACAACAAATGCTCATAAGGCCTGTATTGAGTTAAGCGACAAAGTTTGTGATTCATCCCATCGTCTTCGTGATATTCTTTTACATGAAATGTGTCACGCAGCCGTTTGGATTCTAAATAAGCGGAAGGAGAGTCACGGACCAAATTGGAAAGGTTGGGCTGACTTATCAAGTTTAGTTTATCCCGAAATACCAAGAGTAGATGTTGCTCATAACTATGCCATTGTAAAAAAATTTCTTTATATTTGTATGAACTGCAACTATCAGTAAGTATTTTACGTAAAGTCATTTATTACTTTATAATCCATAATTTTCATTCTATTACAGTATAAGCCGCCATTCTAAGTCTATTGATGAAAATGCACCTTGTAAAAAATGTGGTGTAGGCGATCTGAAATTGGAGCGTAATCCCGCTTACAGTTCAATTCGGAAGCAAAGAGCAAGGGAACCTTCATCAGGTCTTCAACCATTCGCGTTATTCTTGAAAGAAAATTATAGAACTGTAAGACAGCAAAGAGGATCTCATTCGGATACTATGAAAGCTCTTAGTGAAAAATTTAAAAAATCTAAATTATCAATCAGTTGAAAGGTATTGATTATCTATATTTTTTCTAAAATGCTTCAATTATATTTCATTTTTCCATTATTTTAAATATGTGTTTTAATTATCCTTTCTTTACCTGATTTAGACCTGAAACAGTATTAATGTTTAGCAAATGTCCGTAATACTTTTTAATTTTAATAAAATCTATTTTAAAATTGTTTTTTTTTTAAAAAACAAAAAGAAGATTAAATTACGATTATCACTTGCCTTTCTTTTTACCTAAATTTACTGAAGTGGGTAATATATGAAACATTTAGATAACGTAGAATTAAATTCCGTATAAAGCTGCAAAATTTTCCACGGATATTCCCAGTTGGATAATCAAAATAATCCAGAAAGACAAGTTATCCAAATCTCTGAGTTCGTGCAACGAATAGTTATCCTATTCTAAAGACACCAATGGTTGATAGCCACAACGTAATAAATTTGCCAAATGCATTATATAAAAGACATAGTTAAATTTAGTAATATTTTAAATAGTTGTATTAAACCTTATCTATATGTTGACAATAGGAAGTAACTTTATCAACGGTGTCATCACATAAATTTTTCCTTTCCATCAAGTAAAATTACCATTCCAGCCTCTCTCCGCTTTGCATATGTATAAAATAGCGATTACCGACAATTTCAAAGATTTGCCTATACGATATATGTCATTGGATAAATAGTAAAAATTGTAAAATAGCCTAAAAACTTTAAATACAATTTAGCCGAATGAATTTTAGCATATAATGAATATTTATGAACTTGTAATTGCTAATGAAGTACAATTGTAGATGAAAGAAAAGTTAATAATTGTTTATTCAAACAAAATTACAAAATTTCAAGATTATTAAGTATTGTAAAAGAATAGTAGAAAAGAGAAAATAGGTGGCGTTAGATATCTTTTCTCTGAAAAGAAACGAAAAAATCTACTGCTACTGTAGATTTTACTATTATTTCTTGCTCTCCCTCCGTTCTCTTTCGTGTTTTTTTTCCACATCAAAAGAAACTAAGTCGGATGAGAGAGAGAAAGAAATTTATCAAAAAGATGACTTTATTTATTGCGAATTAACATAATAAATTGATCATATTTCTGAATAATAAAGAGAAGATGATTATTAAAATAAAGAGAAATGGTAAAAGAAAAAGATAAAGATAAAAATCTCCGAGTCAAGAGTAACATTGTTTTTATCATTATATTTTCCTTTGAGACTTTCTGAAATAAAGTTTTGTCAGTCAATGTAAACGTGATAAGAAACAGAGTAAGAAATACTACACTACTAGATTTTACTATACTCAATAATAATGTTAATTATTCTTAAATTCCATTCAAAAAGAAAATAAAACCAATTAATAATTTTCTTCCGTTTTTTGTCTCTCTTCTTTACAAACAATCACTATCGATATCCTAGGCTTATATCTTATTTAGCTACGGATGATATATAGCTCTATTTTATGTCCATTATAAAATATTTTCAAATATCTAATAGATGCATATATAATAGATTGGTACAAAGTATTTAAATCGCTCTATTTCTCTCTCTCTCTCTCTCTCTCTCTCTACATATAAGAGAAAATTCTCGTTTTGTACATAAATCATAATTAAGATAGAAACTAGATGGCTGTTGTCTGATTTCTAATTTTGGATAGAGCTTCTAAGCCATTGTTTTTATGATAATGATGCAAATCAATTATGAAGTTAGCAATAATTTACATTAAGACAATCATTAATTTTTCATTATATCTTTATTTTTGTATAAAAAATTATTTTTTTTTATAAAAACAAAACAAAACATTAATTTATTGTTATTTAATAGTTTAAGAATTTACTAAAAATGTATATTTATATTAAATAATGATTATACTGGGGATAAGCAAATGTCCTTGAGCATTTTTGTTTGTTTGAGTTGAGACTTTAATTAACATAAGGTTAAGATAAAGCTAATAAAGCTTTCCCTTTCTTCATCTAAAGTTCATTGAAATATTATTTTTTGTTGTGACAAGATTGAATACAAACAAACGAAAACTAGTAGTGAAATTCATATTGACAAATTTATATATCAAAGCTAGGTATTCATGTCATAACTGGGGTTTAAATAATTTCACTACTACAAGAATAACCACAGTAGGAGCTATTAGAAAGAATAGAAATAAGTAAAAAAAGAATTTATCCATTATTTCGGCCATTAACTTCCAATCATTCTTAACTTTACCGTTTGAGGTTGTTGGGTGTACTGGCGTTAATAATTCCAGGTGTTCCCCTGGCCTCTCAGTTTCATTATTGTGGTTTGATGCTCTTAAGGTTAAGGAAGATTCAATTGTTTCCGTCCAAACAATTTGATCAGATTCTTTTTTCTTCTTTCTAATCTTCTTAACGGCCGTTTCCGCTTCGCATTCCAATGGCCAGCCGATCAATCGGGCTATATAAACGAGTATTAAAGTTCTCAGCCAATTTGGTGGGGCATGATCTGCTGACCGGAAGTGCATTCGTATAACAAGGACAGCCATGGCCACAGCTATTGTATTTGCCATCATAAAGTATGTAAGATAGATGGCTATAATTGGTATGGCATCTGATGTATCTGGTACATTACCAGCGACCAAGAGAAGAAAAACTGAAATTATAAAAAATTTGTTTTTGCTTTTATTGTATTTAGGACAATTGCAGAAATAGTTTCATAATTATATATCTCTGCTCTTTTAATCAAAGTAAAGTTTACCTGAAATTGCTACTAATATTGATACTCCAAGAGATACTTTTTCTCCACTTTCAGCTGGTACCAAAAATATCATTAATAAAACTCCAGATAGCATCAGGCATGGTAGGAGGATGTAGACAAGATAGAACGTATACTTCCGCCGGATGTGTAAAGTAAAGTAAACTTCTGGAAATTGATCCTGGTAATATCGGTAAACCCTGTTCACACTGCTAACTTGTGTCTTTATAATATCCCACTCGCCGTGTTTAATATATGTATCTAAACCTATAACATCCATCGAGTTACTTAGGTTCACTTTATCAGCTGTGTAAACCCAAGTTTCAAGTTCAATGGTACATTTTTGATCGTCGAATGGATAAAAGTTCATATTTAGAGCACAGGAAATTGCAAAAACTCCTCCTGAAAAATTAATACAATAGAATAAATAAGAAATATTATAAAATTGTTTAGATAAATAGAATACATTAATTATATTGTCTTCTATTTAGATTAGAGAACTTGGTTGTTTTTCTACTAAGAGCTACGAAGGGCGTAAATTGAAAAGACTAGATAATCGGGAAATTCTCTTAAGGCTTTTAGAAAAGCCAAAGATCTGGGAGGTGCAAGAGAAGAAAACTTCTCGGATAAAAGACACAAGTCGTAACCTTGGTGAAGAAATGAACTAGTAGTCGTATATTATAATACAATATCCTGCTTATAGAAATATGGAAATTTTATGAAATCCTTAATAATTATAGAATGAAGTCTTTTTATGAGCAATACAAAAAAAATGAATAGAAGTAAAAGATGTGAAGACATATAAAAGCATATTAAACAGAAGGAGTAATTTTTTTCAGCTTGGACATCGTATCTACTCTTTGGATAGCTAATAATCATACTAACTTTTTATTTTACTTATTGGTTTTATTCGTTTGGATAAAGTCAATGGAAATATTGAGCACGTATAGTAAAGATAGTAATCGGATTAATGAATAAATTAACAAACCGGGTTGCCACCGGGCACTTCCGTCATGTCGTACTGTAATCCAAAACCGTCTGTAATGTTCGCCATCGAATAGTTTGTTGGCGCTATTTCCAATAGCCAATTTAGGTATCCACATTTTTCTTGGATCAACTACAATAGATCTTAGATTGCCATATTCCTCGATATTCCATGTTAAGAATTCATCAGTCCATTCAGCAGTTAGCCAGCCTTATAATTTTTTTATTCGTTTAAGGACGCCCGTTATTTAATTCATTGAATAAATACACTTTATCTAATTCTTCCCTTTATGACGAGTGTTTTCCCTAATAGAAATAAGAAAGGAATACCCTGTCTTGACGTTTTTTTCTCTTCACTCAACTTTTCATTTTTGAAAGTTTCCCTTTAGGAAATCTCTCTTCCGTTATTGGTTGAAAAGATACCTTTTCTTGTCAATATATGAAATCATATATCGAGCAGCTGTCCGTATCCACGTTCATTCAATAATTGTGAACGATTACTTTCGCTATGTGAATTTCACCGAAATAATTGTAGATTAGCTTATCTCTTCAAGGAGACGCCTTGTTTTTTTTAGTATGTATTACTCAGGGAAAAGGAGATAGAAATATCGATTTTGTATTTGCAGGCGAAATACTTTTTCTTTCTTTAGTAAAGTTAGCAAGATGATTAAAATATAAAGGGAAGAAATTAAAGAAAAAGCACAGGGGACAACGGACTATCTATCTGTGTATGTCCCACTTGTAAGACTGATAAAAAAGTTAATTTTTTAACAGAGACTACTACTGGAATTGAGGGATACCAGTACACTAAATAAAACAAAAGGAATAGTGCGGACTAGGGTGAAAAAAGAATAAAAAAATAAAGAAAAATAATGAGGTTGAACGAAGGTGAAATTAAGACGTTCGTTTTTAAAAATATTGATAATGTCTAAATTATATTTATACCTATATTTTGCTTAAATATTTTTAATTAATAACATTCGGCGTCCTTAATTACTAACCGCTTACTTTGAGTATTTGTCTCTTTTCGTCCTGTAAAGTAACATTTGCTAAGTTGATTGATTAGAAAATGAATAGCTAATATAAAATTGATAACTCTTAAGCAACAGTCTGCAGCATCCTTGACTCTAATTTCAAAAAAAAAAGCTATATTTTTGGAAAAAAAAGCTATTGAAATACGTTATTTCATATTTTCTTTTATATTATATTACTTAAAATTTCAATTCACTCTTTGCATAAGATTTTTTATATTGCCTTTTTTTTTTGAAGAAGAAAAGAAAGCAATAAAAGTCTTTGGGAAGCATTTCGTTCATATATTAATTTCTATTTAGAATATTAAAAACGTCAAAATTATATCTCCCTTTGATGTTCAGCGTTAAATAGGCAATAAAAGAAATTAAGTAATTTTTTAATGCTCCACTTACGTAATAGCTAATATATTCAAATAAATATAACATATAATAGATGCACATAGTAATATTAATATTTTATCTAAAGATAAATAAAGAGTAAAATAGAAAGTGGATCGATTCCTCTTGAAGATCGAAAGAAAGAAGCCACTTTAGATTTAAGGATAAAGAAGAAAAATAACAAAGGAAATTATTATCCGATTGTTTTTTCTGATTGGATAGTTAAAATACTTGAAGGAGAAAAAAGTCACATGAAATTGTTTTTTTCTGTTAATTTTTAACTAAATTAAAAAATAATTTAAACTTGTGTGAAAGGACGACTTTAAAAAAGAATTAAGCCTATGTTTTTTCTTTTTTTAGGTAAAGTTCCTTTACAAATCAACGCTGTTTAAATAACTTTTTATATAGATATAAATATATCCTATTATATAATAATGTAGATATTTTTAGCTCGTGTGAAGAATGATTATTAATAAATAGTAATGATACTCTTTTTTTAAACAGGATAAAATTGCAAAGTGAAGCCAATGGATAAAAGGATTGGAGCACGCGATCCCTTCTTTCTTACCAGATCGTTAATCTGCTGAAGAGAAAATCGAACGTTGACCAAGACCGTTTCGCTGGAGTTCCACCTTGGTCTTACAGACCGTTCGTAGTGTTTGAATAACTTTCTCATTAGTTTCTGTTCCTCACACTTCCACTCTGAAACAGATAGCAATAGGAAATTAGTTGTGTGTTGAGGAAATCAGTCAAAAACAGCGCAGACAAACAATTTGACATGGGTAGAAAAAGAGTGTGAAAGTCGAAACTGTGGCAAATCATATACAGACGCTTCCTCTCATCTTACACTTTCGTAAAAACCTCGTATTTCTTTTATTTCTTTTTTTCATGTTATTTTTATTTTATTGATTATGAACATTACTCTAAAATTGATTTTTGATAAATAATTCAATCTGGAAAGTAATGGAAAGAATTTAAAAAATCTTTCTTTTCCATGCAAACGTCCAATTAGAAGCGGCTATTTCTAATAAATTCTCGCCCGGGAACGAGACTATCTATTACAAAAATTTTCTGCTATTTTAGTAAAAAGAGAAGACGATGTACATACTAAAAGAGGGGAAACTATTGAAATAATTGCGTTTCTGAAAAGCAAAATGAAACGAAAGCCTACTCCTTGAGGCGAATATTAAGTTATTAATACAAATTTTCAAAGGAGAATATCTATATGACAAATGATGAAAACCAGAAATAAAGAAAGACGAACGGAAAGACACCAGCGTTAATTGAAAATGAGGAGGCTAGTATTTACAAGAAGTTGACTTAATAGATACTCTTCAATGCTGGTCTCGTATTTGCCATTTGATTGAATGTAATAAAAACTATACTTTTCCAAAAGTTATTATTCAAACAACGATAAGAGAGTGTGTACAGAGATAACAATGTAAAAAAATTGATAAAAAGTATAAAGAAAGCTAAAAAATTCAATTTTATTTATTATAATTAGGTTAAAGAGTTAAAAAATTCTTTCATTAATTAACTATCGTTTAAAGAAGATGAAAAAGTTAACTTGAAAAAATTCAAGCTTCTTTCTTTTGTAATAGAAATGAAATCGAAATTCAACTTACGAGTTTTAGCGGAAATCGCCAAATCTATTACGATGATTGTAAAGAAGTGGGAAATTATCCAAACGACGCTTTTCCTCATCGTAAAACTTTTGCTTTTTGGACGGCTGTGTGAAACGACCTACAGACGGCGCTTTCCATTTTAATGTGGAAATTTTTAACAGTTGATAAAGAAAATCTCAGTGGTATCCTAAACTTACATTTAACATAAAGTGATTTCTGTGTTAATCAGATACTGTCAAATGATATTTGATCAAATGAAAGAAGTTTAATGAAAACAAATGCAGTATAATATTAAAGCTTTTCTTATGTAAATCACGATTCTGGACAATGAACCATAGTTGAATTATACAATTACTAGTGACAGTTTCTCATATCTGTTAATAGTTTTATGCTTTTCCTCTTTCCCCCCTTTCCATTAAACACCTTCCAAAGTACGCTACTCAATAAACACAAGCCAAGGAGAGAGAGGCAAACCACCAATAGAATATTATAGTCTGGACGTTGTTATTTTATTGATAACGTCCTGTTCCTAGCTATAGAATGACCTTGCCATCTTCGTTGAATTACATCCTACAAAACTTATGAGTCTTGTAAGAGAAATTTTGAGAAAATTTATCCATCTCTTCTTTTCATATAGTATTTTTGTTATCTATAATTTTTTTCCCTCAATAGAATGCAATATTACTGTTTCCTTTCAAATTTCTATTTATTCAATTCGAAAACCATCAAAAAAATGTGGATATCAAGATAAAATCGAATTTTATTCTCTTAAGATATACAAAATTCTACCCAAGGCGTTATTCTAAGTTTTGCAGCTTTGAATATAGGCCTTATAATAAACGAGAGATGGCGTAGTAAGTGAGGAAAAAAGTGAACTAAGTGATAACCAAAAGGGAATTGGTTAATTGTGGGTTTGCTTAGAAGACAAGAAAAAGTCTAACTCTAATAGTATTAAACCTATCTAAAGCATGCAATAAAAAGAGACCTATTCTAAAGTGTTCCTCTTTAAGATAATAGAATGCTTTTAATCCAGTAAATTTACACCTAAATCTAATTTGAATTATAATAACACAAGAACTACAATGACGTAACAGCGTCTTGGTTTAAAATAACGGATTTTCGTTGAAAAAGTGAATTTTAAACGAATTCGTTAAAAGGGATAGCTGTGGGTGGGAGTTTAGATAAGATATTTCCTAAATGAAAACCAGTCATCTTATTCAATAGTATTACTACATAAACACTATAGAATTTGCCCTTTAAAAATAATTAGATTAGCTATTATCCGTGGAAACTTTAATACAAACTAATTAGGATCTATGATTAGAAGAAATATTCATATTTGGCATTTAATAATTATACTATCTATACATTAATATGTTTTTTTTTGTTACATTTAAAGAACGTTATCTATTCTTTCCATTAGCTAACTATTTTCTAACTACGATAGTTGTTGAAATATGAGGCAATAATAATACAAAAATAGATGTAGTCTTATTCTAGAAGATTCTCTAAGCATAAAACAAAGTAAAGACAAGTAATATCGTCAGTTTGTCTTACTATTTATATTAGTATCGACTGCTTAGCTTTCATTCTACGGATAAACTTTGTCTTTCTATTCCTTTCGCAGACCTTTCGAAACAATCAAACAAATAATTCTCTGTTCAAGGACTTTTTCCATTGTTAATGTTTCGCCTAATATATAATGAAATAAGTGAACAGATCAATTAAAATTCAATATGGGATGTAATTGATGATTAATTTTTAATTATTGGAAACTTTATAAGTGTGATGAAAATTTTATTTTTAGACTTTTGTGAAAGTAAAATTTAATTTCTGACGATTTGATAGGAAGATCTTGTGTTTTCTCTTGTTTTATGAACTATTAATTCGTTGATATAATTTAACATTTAGATTGCAACAATGTAACAAAATTTGATTGTAAACAAATCATGTTTTGTTCGGGTAAACACGAGGAAAAAAATCAAATTCAGGTTCTCAGTTCTTTGTTATTTTGATCTCTCAATTATTGAAAGTGGAAGGCGTAACCAGTTTACATAGGAATATTTTGTGTTGATGAAACGCCATTTCTCCCGCCGTATAAAAAGTCAGCTGAAAAATACTATATAATTGAGATTGCAAACAATTGCTTATTAGTTCTTATCTACGTTGAATATTAATGAGAGAAATCGAATTTTTAAAAATAGAAACTAAGCAACGAATAAAGATCACTTTTCAGAAGTAAACAATTTAACCAGAATGCCCCAGTGTTTTCATGTGGTGAAATGCTACTCTTGTTGGACCTATCAGGTTAAATATGAAAAAGGGAATAAAATATACAGAATATATATATATATTACCTATATTCATTAAAAAAAGTGTTAAAACCTGCAGGTGCAAATTGTTAAGAAGGTTAAAAAATTTCAGTGCAAAATGTGTGGAGAAAAACAGTCTGTAAAATTGGTAATTTGATAATTTATCTAATTTTATCTTGTAAGTAAGTTTAATAAGGTAATATTAAATAAAACAGGTGATTTTCGAGGGATCAGCTAAGGATTGTCGTCATATTGCTCAAGATAAAAACTTGAAAAAAGGTCAATTATTTGAAGAGCTCGCCCAAAAATCTAGCGAAAGTTCAAACGAATCAGTAATATACAATTAGATCGTTATAATATACTTTACTTTGTACACTTTTCCAAAAGGACACAGATCAAGTAGAAGAAAAGGTTATTTCCAGTGGAACATATGATTCGCGAATAGTTTCTGGTGCCTCAAAATGGGACAAATATTTAACAAGCGCTGAGGGTGAAGAGGTTAACCCATACAATAATATTTCTACTTTTAGACGTGAGAAAAGAGAGTTAGAAAATGATGATGATTCTTCACCTGAAAGAGTTCATAAAAAGGTATCATTATGACAAAGAGAAGAAGAGGAGAAATATGATTTTAATTAAAGAAAGAAATATATATAAATATATATATACTATATACTTAATACTGTATATGATAGTACATTTTATTATTATAGTCATTTTTAACATTATTATTTATTATATAGCTATACGATAAATAATAAATTCAAATGAAAATCTAGGAAAATGCTGTATTTTATTACAGTTTTCATAAAGTCTTCTTGTATATTTTACTAGTAGAACCGGGTAAAATTCGCTAGGTGTCGCTATAAAGTATAAAAACGAAAAAAGAAATTGCAAAAGAAATCAACCGTAGATGGCAATGGTATTTTTATGAGGGAAGGGATTGGGAAGGAGAACTAAATTTTTCGCTATTTCTGTCCATCTGTCTCCTCTATCCCTCCAATTCTTCTTCCCTCTTTCTCTTTTCTATCTCTCTCTAGTTTTATCCTTTCGCTTTTCTCTTCTCTTTACTCTTCTTTCTATCAGCCAGTGCACTAAAGTGACATTTTTTTCGATTAAATAGGAGTACAGGGTTTTTTGATGTAAAAGATAGATGATTTACACCTCCAATTATTACGTGTTTCTAAAAATCATAGGTTTTAAATGGAATAGTTCATCGAACTATTAAAATGCGTTGCGAATTATTTTGACGGCGTTTTCGTGCAAACGCCGCGAATCAATAGATCAATAGGACGGTTTGATGAAGCGCGTGCTGTGCATGACGGTTGCAGAAGGCTTGCGGTCGTGGAAACGCGCTAATTGCAGTCTTGCTGCAGGGTAATTATAAGAATGTGACTTATTTCGTTTTATTTCGTTTGTCTCTTGATTCGACAACAAATGAAAGGTTTTAAGATATCAACTGCGTTCTTCATTTAAGTCTTATGTCTCTATTTCTGCGTTATTCTTTATGATGTTATTACAGATCGATGTCGTTTATATTTCCCCCTCCCTTACACGTAAATCCTAAATGAGACAATTAATAAGAAAATTAACCAATATTTATTGATGTGTGCAGTGTATTACGCAATAACCTGTTGCTGAATGAAAAATGGTGTTTGTACATGTCTGCATATAAATTTTTTTTTACCTTAACACCATATCTATTGGATTAAATTGATGATATTTTGAGTAAGGTCATACATAGCTTATCACATCGATACTCTACTGGTTTTACAACTAAACCTTATAAATAGTTAAAGTAATTCATAAAAGAAACTCTCTATTGAATAATGTATGAAAAATGTTTTTTTTAAAGAGTAAAAACGACACTATCGTGAGAAAATATGTTAAATTTTTTTAAAAAAGAGAAACAAGAGTCTATAAATTCAAGTCTATTTTTCCGCATGTATCAATCAATAATTTAAATTATTTGACCTTAAACGAATAAAATACGAAATTTGAATATTTTTCTAAATCGAGATACTCTATCTAAAGTATACAATACAATAAACAGTTATGTTAGCTGTATATCTGGATATATCTATATATATATATATATATGTGTGTGTACACGTATATACACAAATATACGACAGATAAATAAGAATCATCTACAGCAAATCTTTTCTATGATATCAAAGAAAAAGTTGATAAATTTTCATATCATTTATTACATTAATCAAGTGAAAATTATTTATATTTCAATTGTTTAGTAATGTGAAAAGTATGGCGAAGCGCATGCGTCAATGATATCGTTTTTATTGATAATATACGATTGTATACAGAATGATAACGTACAACAGTTTTAACTAATTAGACTTCTTATGGTAAGAATATAGCGTAGAAAATTTATATACGACATATATGCTATATATATATATATATATATATATATATATATATATATATATTTATATATATAAGCCGTATATATTATGCAGATGAATATTCATAAAAGAACAGGTATTTTTATTATACAAGTTTGGATATGTCGGGCTGTACCTTCTGATAGTTGATTACAGAAAAGCAATTTAGGTAATTTAAAATGCGTAGGAAGAAATCTATGTAGAGAGGACTGCATTTCACTGTACTGTTACTGTATATATTATTAAAATGTGCGTCTGCATAAATTTTTCTACTGTTAGGCCAGCATATTCTACCAAAACGGAATTATAGTAAATATACTCTTCATCCGCACTGTATATGATAGGAAAATATGGTAGAAAAAAATATGCATAAATGCTTGTTACGCCTATTTTATTAAGTGAATTTAACATATTTTATTTATGCTAAGAAATTAATAAGGCTTGAAATTTTATTAAGCTTTTCTTTACGGCATAAGTTTTTATGCTTTTTACTTTTATTCTTTCGGTGTTGGTTTAAATTTCTACCAAACAATAACTTGTACGGTTCATAAATAAATACAGAATATATTTTTATTGGTCTTGTTGGTTGAATAATAAATAATAGATACTGTTAGATCGATATTTAGTATAATTGTCTACTTTGTTTCTCTATTTTTCTCTTATTCTCTCATACTTTCTTCTTGTTTTTTTTTTAAAAAGAAAAAGTTAATATTTTTTTTTCTACTTTTCTCTCAATCGTTTTCAAATACTTTTCTTATTAGAAACTTTTTTTTTTCATCACAGATTATCATTAGATGTTTTAGTTTTTAAAAAGAAATTATCATGAATTTTTCATTTCTTTCTTCCTTGTTTTTTATTATTATTATTATTGCTATCCATTTTCTATTCTTGTATAAAAGTTATGAATATTTATATAAATAAAGTATATACTGTAAATATGTATCATCCATGGAAAGAGCATATTTTTATACATTTTTCAAACTGGTTCCATTTTTTATTGTATCATAATAAAACCTTTGTTGTAGCTAATTTGAATTAAAAAATATAATAAACGATTTTTTTCCATAGTTTATTGCCTGATTAAATATTATGTTTATTTAAGATTAAATATCCACAAATATTCGAATGTGCCAGCTCTTTTCACTAATGGACAATAGTGGTCAGTTGTCAATTTTTTCTATCATATCTTTATAGTCGGCTAAATTGAATCAAAGCTTAACACACAGACACATATATATATATATATACAGTATATATATATATATGCACCAAAATATATACAATACATGAACATATCAATAAACATAATCCAAGTAGAGAGATATGCATATTCAATTTCTTTACCACAAGGAGCAGTTAACTAGTTATTTGGATGAGTGAAAAATGTTACTTTTATCATAAAAAAACATATTGGGAGTATCATTGAAAGTGTTAAAATATATATGATACGTTGGTCTCCTATCATAAAAAGAATGTCAATAATAAGAACAAAAATGCAATCAATGAACGACTTAATGAAAATGTTAATTGAATCGCAAAACTTGGTATGCTTTACTGTAAACAACCCTTATAATTTACTGGATGTTTTACAATTCTTCACCATAAAATTTGTTACATAGTTTTCAATAAAGTTGATGATTTATTCAGTTCCTTTTTTTTATCACTTTCAACCAAAGAGAATGTAATGGGAAAAGTATTTTTTCTTAAAAGGTAAAACAATATGAGTCCTACTGAATAATTTTTGAAATTAAAAGCTTTTCAGCTCCCTGTGGTTGTCATAAGATGCTCTCAAAGGATGATTCGTTTAGTAATCAAATTATTTTCACTCGTGAGTGTAAAGCCTATCTTTCAAACAAAACTTTATCAATCAATTAGTTGGTATTTTTATGCTATGTTAAAAATAACTTTAAACCCTGAATATCTTCTAAGGTGTTTAGATTCATGAAACGAACGATTAAAATAAGATACTAGGTCAAAATTGTGACAAATAAAAACTAAATTAATAGAGTAAAGTTACTAAAAAGAGGAAAAAAAACCACAAATGAAAAATCTTACCCTCTAAAAGATTATTGTAAATGAAATAAGTATCTTTTCCTTGTTACAATATCCTATAGGTATGATAGTTGCAAATAAATTTCGTTATAATACGTAATAGAGTTACCATAAGCCTTTAATTTAATTACTAAATGTAAATGAAACACAATAAATTGAACAGGTACAAGATTGTGCTTAATGAATAATTGAAATCTATTTGAATATCCATAATCGTTTTGAAGAATAAGAATGGCATGGTATATATTAAACGATACATTCTAATGAATATTACCTGTGGATTAAAGTGCTCTAAAATTTCAGCTCTGTCGCGTGATTATAATTACTTTAGTTCGTTCATAAGTCAGCATTTTACCATTAATAAAATGTATCAAGTATGCCCATTACCCCATTTAAATTCGTAATGTAGAATTTATGGTCTATCTTTACCATACAGATTACTGAATAGAGTATAAGTTACTTAAAGTAAACAGTTATTAACGTTGTATACCCTTTTGAAATTTATCATATAGGATAATTTCATAACAAATTTACCTAGCTAAAAAGATAAATTATGTTTATTCAGGAAGATATTCCATAGGTTTTCTGCGAAAAGAAAGTTCAAATGGACCTTGTCAAACATCTGGGAATGTTTTCCTCAAAACAGATACGCGAATGTTGGAGCAATTAAGTTCTCATTCAATGTTGAAACTGTTTGCTCTTATTTCTTGAATAACCTTCATACAAATTACATATTCCATCTCTTCTAATACTGTCTAAAATTTTTTATTATAACTAAATACCCGTCTTCGTTAAGGAATTTTCGTTTCTACCAGAATTTTTGATAACAAGTTGTTGAATTATTGCTTTTGAAATTCTGATCATTTTTTCTTATAAAAAAGATATGTGCTATCTGTTAGTTTAAACATAAAGGACCTTGAAAATAAGGGAGTGTGGTGGCACATGAAGTAAAATATTTGCATATCACAAGCCTAAAGCAACTCTTGACCTACAATTCAAATTTGCCAAGGGGTTTTGGATCCTTTCTGGAGCATCGATTGAAATATTTTATGAAACATTCGGCATATATTTTTCATTTAATCTTTTTTTTGAATTTGGATATGATTGCAAATTCTAATGTATTTATGCTTGTATGAATTATGTGTCTTTAGATCATCCACCGGTTCATATTTTAGCTTATTCAAGCATGTAATATCCAGTTAGTATTACAGTTAATTATTGACTTTCACATTCCCGATCTTATGATTACATTGTAAGCATAGTATAATTAATATGTCGTTCAAAATGCACGAAGCAAACATGGAACAGAAAATAAGAGGGAAAAAAGCACGAGGGTAGGAAAGAGAGAAAACGAATGAGAGAGATGGAGAGAGAGAGAGAGAGAGAGAGAGAGAGAGAGAGGGGAGGAGGGGGTTACGAAGAAAGAACGTGTGTGTGTGTGTGTGAGAGTGAGTGAGTGAGCGAGTGAGTGAGTGAGTGAGAGGAGGAATAAAAAAAAAGAGAGAGAGAGCGAAGCAGAGGAGGAAAGAAATAGACCGACAGCAAGGAATGCGAATGTCTGCATTTTAAAGTCAAGTTAGGAGTGTCTTTTCAGCTTTTATCGGAAAATTTAGAATTCGTCGTGAAAGACGAGAGCTCTTTGGATCCTTTGTCAAAAGAAATACAAGGACTAAAATAAAGAAAAGAATATGTAAATACTTACATTTCTCTGCACTTTGAAATCGGCTACAAAATATATTTATATCAAATATGTTTACGCACATAAATAATACATAAATATGTTCATAACAGAATAGGCCTGAAAGGAATAATAGCCATACTTATCAATTAAGAATGCATTTGAATAGCAATAAACAATAAAAATTAACTTTACGTAAGGAAGTGGAGATTAAATACAAATTGAAAGTGTATATCATTTGATAAGGCGAAACTCAGTATTCGATACATTTTTATATTTCGTATATACAAGCACGCACACGCGTATTCGTGTGTACATTTAGAAGCAAATAGATGTACGCTAAATGTACTACCACGGATGGAAATACGTGTTAGAGAGTATATATAATTTAATATATATATATATATATATATATAGATTCTATATACAATTATATATACAATACATAAGGATAACATAATTGCACAAGTATGTGCGCGTGTGCGTATATTTTTATATAAAATTGTTTAAATATATCTCTTCCGAACCCTGGCCATCGGTCAGCGTCCGCTACGAAAATCGAACGCGGCAGCAAAAGCTTTCGGCTTTAGAAAACTCGCGCGCCATTGATTATGCAGCAGGCTGCATACTGCTGACTGTGTGTCACGTGAATGCATGCATTATGCGGAGAGCGCAGTATAAAAAAGGAGGCCTGCTAGTAAAAATTTTCGGCCTGTACCGCCATATTGGTTCGATACCGATTATATACTTGAAAATTAGGTATTGTGTATCGTATTTTTTTCGAATATACAGCCGCAAAACTGCAAACTAACGAATTCGCAGGAGTGCACGGCCGACAAACTGGACGTTGTGACGTCATAGGCAGCAGGCGTTGCTATGACGACTGACAGGCTCATGTGCACTCGAGACTGCGTGCTGCATGAAGGCTAGTCGATATATTGCAGTTTTTTGCAGATGAACGACGAGTCGGGCTCAGAACTGTTGCAAACGGCCGTCACTCTGGCGACACTCGCCAATCCGTCCTTAATGGCCGGTTGGCGAAGAGAGGAGGAGACCGCGAAATTAGTGGACAGGACTTGTACGTTTTGTGGTAGTGTTCGTAATTCTCCAGCTGATTTGCAAAGGCACCTGAGAAAGCATACAGGAGAGCGACCTTTCAAATGCGAACGTTGTCCGAAGGCTTTTAAAGCTAAGAGGAGTTTACAGTACCATCTGCATTTGCAACACGCCGGTGAGGATGAAGATGAGGTTATTAAGAAGAAAATTAAGAGAGAAGATCCCAATTTGAGTTCAGAACAGCTGGATGAGATGTATGACAGGAAAATGTGCGGATTTTGCGCAAAACGATGCGAAGATAGACAAGATTTGCTGTCGCATGTCCGTCTACATATCGACTCTTCTTCGGATTTTGATGGTAAATAGTTTTATTTTCCAACACTATTTAAACATCATTCGCGTCGCTTACGAGTTTTTTTTATGTTGTGCTTATTCTGAAATCGTATGAGAAAGCCCCAAGAATCCAAATTGAAAATCCCAATTCCATTCCTCTCTCTCCCTTATCGAACCAAGAAATAGGAGCTATCAAGCTAAGATTCGTTCTGAAATTCACTTTCTTGTGCTCTTAAACGAATAACCATTTCTGAAAGAGCTGCCAATGCGTACGATTTCGTTCCGGTTTTGGTAATTAGCGGATATCTAGATTCGGGAACTCCGATCTATATTGGTTTAATAACGATTACTGTAGAATTTAATAGGCGTATACGAGTGTTTTTCTACATGTAGAATATATTATATAGTGCATGTTATACATATAAATATGGCATGCTAGTTAAAAAATTGTTAATATCAGGTACAAAAGAAATATTTATACATTTTTTTAAAATAGAAACTAAGAGAAAAGTCAAAGTAAAAAAAAAAGAAAGAAAAGAAAAAACAAGTAGCAAGAATGACGATTGTTGTCTAATTTGTTTAAATAGTATTGAGGTTCTTTTTTATCTATAGCAAAACGATAAATAATAACAATGGAAACAAAATTCTAAGCCATTTTAAAGAAGAAAAAAAAAGAATACATAAAAATGTATGATATAAAAAAGAACACAGTATAATTTTATATTAGTAGCGGGAAAGTCGTACGAATAGGTATATATTAATATTATGAGAAGTGACAAAATGAACAACTAGCAGAAAAGTACTGGTTCAATAAGGGAGTATAGCGTATCAATAACTAATATAGATTGTATAGATTTTTTGGTCCCTTTTTTTTCAAACCATTCAAGAAAGAGCGTCAGTTTATTCATTGATTAACGAACCTAAAAAATATTCTACTATTATTTAATAATTGCTGTATTCCATTTTTATATATATATATACAGTATATCTTGCCTCCCGCCCCCTCTCGCTTTCTTTATTTATTATTATTCAAATCAAAGTATCTCCTTTTTCTACCTTTTATCGCTTTTGTTTTGTACGTTTCTTTTCTAATTCTTTTTTATAGGGTTGATCGAAGAAACGGAAAGCTCATCTGAAGAATCAACGGCGGACGGTGAAAGCGTCGATTTTGGTGACGAGAATGAAGTAAGCGGAGTAGAAGCGGAAATTTCCAGCGACGTTTTATATGTGAAAACCGATACGAAATTTAACGAACGCATAAGATTGCAAAGGGAGACTGTAGTAGTTAGTCGTTTGGATGGCTTGACCGATTCGGGTAGAAAAGTCACCTTATTCAGATGTCATCTTTGCGGAAGGATACAGGGATCATTAAGATCACTTCATTCTCATCTCGCTATCCATTCCGGAAAGACAGAAATTGGTAAAAACAAAGAGGAAGCTGAAGACAGTGGTTCAGGTTCTATCACAGTATGTATTTTTTTTTTCAAGGGTTGTCTTGCTACATATTTATCAATATTTTGGTCGAAATGAGCAGTAACATAGGCCTAAATACTCCCTATCCACACATTCTCTTTCACTCTCTCTCATGCTCTCTCTTTTCCTATCTTTTTTCTGCAACGCAAGGCAAAACGTATTAAATTTTTTTAGGTATGCGAATAGATGGCTATGCGCATGCGAAGTGAAAAACAGACCCCTTTTCTCTTACTCCACCCATTTTTTCTTTCACCCTCAGAACGATTTTGAGGATAGCTTTTTCTTTTCAACTATTTGCTTCCATTCCGTATAAAATAATGTTATATTTATTTGTCTAATGGGATAAACTAGGGTGATAGGCTGTATCGGTTTACTATTCTCAAAGCTGTGGGAGACGAGATGAGCATGGCCTCCGAGTCCAGCAAAATTCATGGACTGACATTGTGTCCTAACGGGCGAGTAGGGACGCCTAGATTTCATGAACTATGAAAGATATATTAACCCATACACTACATACAAAATAGTTGCCTGTTTGATATTGCAGAATAGTTACTTTTTAGAGGGTATTTACGTTGAAAATGTACTAAATAATTGATAAAAGGACGATTTCGCTCACCACGCCATCTGGATGTTGATTAGATAACAGAATTGAGAGAGGAAGACTATAAAAAAAAAACTAGAAAAAAAATAGAAGGGAAAGAGAGGAGGCGAAAAACGATGATAGACTAAGAAAAAGGAAGAGGAAAGCGTAGATAAACGTACATTTAGTGTTCGCCGTCAAATTCGTTCTCTTTCAAGCAGCATTGTTTTTCTATTTTAGGCATAAAAACATACTTTTTATATATATATACCTCTTATTGGACCATTGAATTTCTCTATTAATTCAAACCATATATTATTCATGTACGTAACTTCTGATCAATGTTTTCTTTCAGTTTATTTTTTTTTAAATCTTGCCTATCATTGATTTTTCGTTATCACAAGGTTTTTTTGACACTTTACCATATTTGTATATAATATAGCACTGTCACCACTTCAATATATCCGCAAACACACATCATATGCGTATCTCATAGTTTTCGTAGCCTCTATCAATAGTTATTTTCTTTTTAAAAAAAAAATAAAAGGGTTTCCTATAATTGTTACATAATTATGAGATTAGTCTATTTGTTTATAATAATGAAAAAATTGATAAAGATTTAAGAAAATATTAGATTAGAGCGTAAAAAGAGGGATGAATGGTTATAATGACGTTTATGTGTTTATACATCAATATGATTGTTGGTAGTGGTTTTCTTTATAGAGCGAAAAGCTGGTAGGTAACTGTATGGGGAAAGAGACGCTCTTTATTTTTAATTTAAAAAGAATTGTAGGGATTAAAAACAGAAAAAGAAGTAGAATAGATAAGAAATGAGAGAGAGAATTAGTTGAGTTGACATAGGATTTTTCCCTTCCTTAATTATACATTTTATAACCTGACAAACTACGGTTGGAAAACTTATTAGATTAATAGTGTAAATTCATAGGACTATTTAGTGAGAAGAGGTAAACCCTTGATATAAAGTTCTAATTAGTGCATTGAGTAATAACGCTTAACAGTTTATGATTCATCTTCTTTGGTAGTATAACCTTCTTTCATCGTTGCAGGTACCGGAAAATTACAAGCCTGATTCAGTGGTAGTCAAAATTGTGGATGGAGAGGAGGTAAAATATTCTAGATATAACGGCGCGTTCGTCTGCAGATTCTGCCCGAAAGCCTTCTATCGATTATTCAGTTTGCAACGTCACGAACGTACGCATACGGGTCATAAACCGTGCTCTTGTCCAGTTTGTTGCCGAAAATTTTCGGAACCCAGAAATTTACGGGCCCATATGCTAAGGTTTCACGAAGGTTAGTTGTTTTCTTCATCAAAGTATTCGTAATAGTTATTGTTTGTTGCTATAATCGATATTATTAAGGGGTAATAGGATATTATTTCCTTGAATTTCGTATTATAAAAAGGTGACAAGCTGAAAGTTACGTACGCGTAACTGGATAGGTAAATAAATTTGACATTAAAAAAAGCCTTCTCGATCATTAAGCTTCGTGGATTCGGTTACACATCAACTTTTACTGGGCAACAAACATCGGCGTGCTTCTCTCTCTCTCTCTTTCTGTTTCTCTCTCTCTCTTCTCTCTATCTCTCTCCATAGTCTTAAATCTTATCATTTTGATTGGAAGAGATAAATTACATAATCGAACATATTTTAAAGAACAGGGTATATCTTATCCAAATGTTTTAAATTTATTAAATTTTTTCAACAGTTTCAAACATCAATCTTTCTCTTCTCTATTTTTTACCGAGAATCGAAAAAACGTGTTCAATCTAGAAAGTATTATTTTATGTTGTATAAAGCACGAGCAGTTGCTGACCTAAAATAATATTTTCTCTTATTTTTTCTCTCTCTCCCTCTCTCACGTAGAAAACGTAAAAAGCGTTCTCTCGTTTAGTTTCTCTCTCTCTCTCTCTCTCTCTCTCTTTTATTCTTTCAATTTAAATCAAATTTAAATTATTTACATTATTTTTCAAATTTTTTGAAAGAGGAAAGAAACGAAATAATCAACTTTTTATTCCTATGTTCCTCCTCCTGCCCCCCGTAAAATTAGTAATATTCTTTGTTAACTATATCAACTTTCCTCCTCTCTGTATGTAAACGAAGATGGTGAATGGAAATAAAAAAAAAGGGAAAATGTTCTATTTTCTTACTCTTAGGGAAAATCTAAAATGCAAAAGTTAGGCGTCACGCGATTTACAACGGAAACGCTTAAGAGTTTCTATATAACTGCACACGGTCCATAAGCTAATGCTGGCTGTCTGTTTTCTCTCCTACATATTTTTTTTATCAAACCAAAACTCCTTACATCAAAAGATGTTTTCCTGGACTCAGTGTTGTGGTTTTGAGTTCTTGTTTGTTACAGAGAATGAGGGAAAAGTTTCCTCTTCAAAGTGAATTTTATAAGATTCTTAGCCCAAGAACTCTTCGGCTTTCAAAGTATTCAATTTCAATTTATGCAAATGCTTTATAGGAATATATTCAAATTATTCTACACTAAATATAAAAGAAATGTTGACGTGTAATGATAAGATACTAGTGTATATATTTATATACTGTATATATGTTATATATTGCTATAACTATCTGCCTACGTGTATATTTTTGTATGTCTAAATATATCTATATATAATGCGAGACAACCCGATTACAGGTCACGAACACTGTTTACCGGCAAACAGCCGACAAACAAGTCAGCGGCTGGCCCCTGTTTCGAATGATATGCTTAAAAAGACTGAGAATGGCAGGGAAGAGAAGGATGAAGATGGGGAGGTGGAAAAAGTGGCATCGAGCGTTACTTTATCGCGTCTAATCAGACCGCAGATTTCGTCTCTTCCATTAGCTGCAGCGCCGTTCTTTACGACTTTGGGCTCGCATTTCCCCTACGCTCTACCACTCGGCATTAACGCCGATAATCCGCTGCTGAATTACATCGCATCAGCGACATCCGTTTCAACGCCAGTTTCAACTACTGTTAGTTCAACGGCAAGTCAGCAAGATGCTATTTCTGTTTCGAAGAGTTCTTCGCTATCCAAGACGCATTCGAGGTAAACAAGGGAACCGAATGTATAATTGAATCCTATTTAAAAAAGAGGAGGGGACGACATCTGCAGGCTATCTTTAAACAATACCGGTTTCCAATTAAAGATTTCACCACTGTTTCGTCCTTTCATTGGAAACGCCCCCTCCTCTACTTGGAAAATCGTTACTTTAGATTAGGCAAGATAGGAAGGGTTAGAAGGTGTAATGTAAAGGAGATAACTTTTTTATGTTAACAGGTTATCAGAGCTTAGCCAGTAGCATTCTTATTAGTAGGAGACAAACAGATAAGACAAACTTTTCATTGGAAGGAAATTTCACCGTTTTCCTTAGATATTTCTTTCAGGCACTAACTATGATTTTTAGATATATCAATTTGTTGATAAATACATACTGTATATTAAGGTTGATAGTTGTAAGAACAAACGCTGCAAGCACATAGTCTTGAATATTGTAAATATAGGCGAAATAGGCAATAATTATAATAAATTGTCGGTCGAACAAGTAAGAAATGATTAGCTGCCGGCTAAGAAATTAAATTTTCCAGACTAAACGTCGTTAGGACGCCAGTAAGCCGAGAGGATGCTTGTAAACCCATCCAGATGTCGGATGGCAGAACAGTCTTCAGATGCACCTATTGTAATAAGGATTTTGGTTCTTATTCAGACATAAATCGCCATATGGATTTCCACGAAGGTTCAAGTGAACTAATCAAGATAGCATAATGATTTCCAAGCTTAATTAACATAATTTATATCATACAGATGTGCGCCCGTACAAATGCAAATTTTGCGATTATTTCGCTAGAACTAATAGTCAACTGAAGGTGCACTTAATGAGGCACCAAGGTGAGTTTGATTGTTCTCTTTGAAATTTCTACCACGTTTTTAGCCATTTTTTGTCCCCATATACCTTTTGTTATTATTTTATAAGTGTTTTTTTTCTTACACCTATAGGCTTATATAAATATAGCTCACCCCACGATTCAACGGTTTAGTCATGATGTTTACCCTTGGTCTCTTTCTTTTTCTATTATCATTATATCAGAGGATTTCTCTGGCTAAGGACGTTAAATGATTAATGATTATCTCTTTAGAAGAATAACCTCATACTAATTTGTTCTTTGAAGAATTATATACACTAGGATAGTTATAAAGATATAAAACATGGTGTAGTAGATAAATATAAACATCTAATTGATAATCACATCTATTTTCTATTTTAAATACTTAAAAAGATGATAGAAAGTTTATAATGAAGAGAATTTCGCAATATTTTCCTAAAACATCACACGCCATCTATCGAGGGAAAGCAATTGTATATCACCTTAAGCAGAATGATAAGATATTCATATATTCATTTATTACTATTATATTTAGTATATATTATTTATAAATATTAATCCAATAATTTTGACGTAACTATTACTCGATTTTGTAGTATAATCCATTAATAATTAATGAATTTCTCATTATAAAAATGCATATTATTTTAATATTTACAGATATATATATATATTAGTATATATATATACAAATATAAATATATATACAGTATATATTCATTCATTCCTAGAATCTTTTCTTTTTTATATATCTGTCAAGAGAAAACAGAAAAAAGGTTATCTTTCTTTTTATATTTACTATCCAATTTCTAAAAGATGGGCCGCTGTTACTCCTACAATGTTTCTTTTATTTATTCTAGAAAATTGTAACATAGTTATTATCAAAATGATATTATTAGTTTTTTTTTTAAAACTAATTTGTAAATATTATAAAAAAAAAGTGATGTAAGATGGGAGGAAAGAAAAGCGTGTGACAGGCAGGACTAGCATAATTTGTTGAGTTTGACAACGTCTTCGTGTTACCTAGTTTTTTGCAACCAGCATAAAAATATCCTTCTTCTTCTGTGTTTCTCCCTCACCCTATATTTAGTCACTTCCTTTCCAATTGGCCTAGGTTTCTTTTTTAATTAACTTATTACCAATAATTTATTGTGAAAAATAATAATGACTATTTTTTTTTCTTGCTTCAGGTATTAGAGAATTTCATTGTAAGTTGTGCAATTATAAGGGCGTTACGCAATCCGATCTCAACCGACACACAAAATCGCAGATACATATGTTAAAATCGCAAAATGCCTGTAAACAATGCGGTGAAGGTTTTGTGTCCCCCAAGAATCTTGATAAACATATGACAGTTTGTCAATTATCGAACTAAAACAAATGTAAAAAGTAGAACTAAAATAGAATCGGAATGAAAAAGAGAATTTCTTTTAAAGGGGGAAAAATAAAAGGATACAACAATAAAACATTTAAGAAGATGGAATCTTTATTAATAACAGTAACAAGACATTTTTTAAAAAGATAAACAAGAAAAACTTTCAAACAAACAAACAAAAACGAGGAAAAGTCAACAATAGCAACTTTTTTTTTGTTTATCCAGTAGAGAATGTTTATATTTTCGATTGAGTGTTCTTAGTGAATGGCTACTTTTATCATTGGTTAAGAGGCTACATACCTGACAAAATTCCTTTTTCATCTGATTTATGAAGAAAATAAGAGAAAAAACATCAAGAACATGAGCCTAGTTCTTTTTTTATTCTACACTCTATTATACAGTACATATTTACAAATAATATGGCGTATAGTATTTATAAGTCTTGTACTTTTTGGCAAATTTTTAAATATTCTCCTATTTTCTTTTTTTCTTCTTTCTTAAATGAAGCGAGAACAATTGTTTTATTTCTCTATAGATTCCTGCAATCTTTTTGTTTTCCTGCAATATATACATACATTCGTATATTACAAGTATACAGACAAGTCTCTTTCATTTATATAAACAATGTATGTATATTTTTTATGTGCATAAATTATATCAAGTTTTGTTTTCTTAAAACTTTTCTTTCCTGTAAAATGACTATACAGTATATATATATAGAATATATATATATATATATGCATAAGTACTAACATTCTCTCTTCTTTCTTTTTATGTTATTGTTTTAGTCTTAAATTCTTTGATTATCTACCTCAGTATTGGGTGAGGAAGTTGTGATAGCATCTGCCTTATGAGCCCGCTCAATTAAGCATTATAATGTATCTGTTTAGACAAACAAAAAAAACAAAAAAAAAACAAACAAAAGCAAAAACGTAAAACGAACTTATTTAGAAAGAACTTTATTTGACAAAGGGGTTAAATGTGAAATAATTATATGTATATAACAATCCACATTATATATATATATATAAAATTTATATACAGTATATATATATCCATATATATACTAGTTTTCCTCCATTTTTTCTTCTTGTCTAGTCGCCATTTATAAATTTTTTTTGTTTTTCTTTTGTCTTCTTTTTCGTCAATTTTACATTTCTCTTGTAATAGACAAAAAAAAGATTATTTCATTTTTCTGCAGCTTTGTGTGCCATTTTTTTTAAAAAAAAAAAAATATTAATAAATATATTTAAATGTAAAATAACAAAGAAAATATATTTGTTATATTTTTTTGACTTTTGTTTTATTATTGTAAGTTTATTCTTTTTCTGTTCTTTTTGTTTATAATCTTCTTTTTATTTCTTCTTATTGTGCCACTTTTCTCAAGGTTATTAATATTAAAAATATATAAATATATACATTCATTATGAAAAACCATTAAAATCATTGTATAAATACTATTTTTATTTCTTATTTTAACTAATTAGGATAAAAATTAAATAATTAATGGAGAATAGAAAAAAAAATAACTTTTTTTTATTTCCTCCCTTTCCTCTTTTTACCTTTCCGCTTCCGCATTTCCTCCTTTCCACTCCCTGTCCCCCTCCCCTTCCAATATCATTTTCGCATCATCCATCTTTCTACTCCCTCGTCTCGATTCTTTAAGAAAGCGCATGTCAATTATAAATATCATGGACATATTGCAAGTGAAAGTTAAGTTAAATTATCATTGTTATAGGAGAAAAACGTGAGAATTTACACGAACAAATAAATCTTTGAACCCATAGTTTACATGTAACAATCCATTGATATACTTTAATATATACTATACATATATATATATATATATATATAAATATACAGTATATGTATACATTAATATATCGTATTACTGTTTTTTGCATAAAATACTAGAAGCTTTGTATGTATTTTTACTGTTTTTTTTCTCTATTTCTATCTATGTATACCTCTTTTTACTATATCTCAATAAAACTTTAAAATAATAAAGGTGAAAATTAACAAAGGAATTATAGAAAAAGAAAATCTCTGTTGAATTATTCTTTATTCAATCTTACTTTAATACAAAATTGATGTTATAAATCTCTTTTTCTATTTTATATAAATTTATAAAGGGAAAAGTATTCCCTAGTTTTAGTTCTTCTATAGAAAATATCTATTTTTCCTTGCTAGTCAGCTGTAAGAATATTGCGATAGAAATAGGTCACAGACTAAGGACAAACTAAGCGGATTCAATCCTAGTAGTTAAGATTAAAAAAAGTATGGAAAAGAGGGCAACGTGAGGGAGAGACGGGAAAAAAAAGAGTTTGCTTTTATTTTTTTGCCAGAGTATTTCACACCGTATTCTCACGTATTAGCTTTGATTTATAACCCTTGAAATGATTATACTGTATTATTTACTTATTTTAGTAGGAGGTCAGGTCGATAGTCCGAAAACAGAGAATTTATATAAGATATAAGGTTGAAAAGGAAGGAAATCTATAAGGATAATGAGTAGGAGAAGGGAGAATTTAATAGTCATTCCCGACTTGGTTAATTGAAGATAGTATGGTATTTTCGTGCGGAGGATACTGTTTTCTACTTTTTCTATGTTACGTTCGCGTGATTCTCTTCCAGATTTTTTTCTTTTATTCTTTTTATATCTTTCTCTCTTTTGCTTAAAACTATTCAAAAATTTAGCAATAGTTGAATAGACCCATTCATAAATTTCGTACTAATAAATAGTATAGTAAGAAACAATAGCATAACAAATACAAGATAACGATTAATGCTTTTCTCTCTTTTATTATCTTGGTTACAACTGCAAATTGATAAATTGAAACCTTTTGAAAATTTTGCCAACAAGCATGATTTTCTTTTTGATTAAAATACAATTTTTCAATTCACTGAAGCGTTTTAGATGATAAATAAATATGTAAGAGAATTCTTTCATTTAAGAAATAAAGGTTAAACAATCGAAATTTGTAAGTAAATATGAGTAAACAGTACTTTTGTTTCTTATAGAATAACATATCGTTATATATATACTTATGCCTCTCTCACGCCTATTTCACTTTTGCTAACAACATACTGATATTTCAATAGTGATGATACAGTTTCCTCCCCAAAGGAAAAACACGTATATCATGCACCTATATAAAAATTCGAAAAAAAGCAATAAGAAACGCCCTCTGACGCTTATACAAAAAATGAAAAGTGATTACTTAGTTCACTCTTAAAGGAAAGCATGTTTAGTTTCAATTTAGCCCTGTAAAAAGGTTGAAATAGACATGGATTTTATTGAGTGCACAATTTTTTTAGTAAAAAAAAATTTATTTACTAATTGGTCTGTCAAGGAAGAATTCGGAATAATGGAAAAAAAGTAAAACTAGGGAATAATGAACCATAAAGAAATACTTAAATAGCTGTATAAAGTGATAAATGAGCTGTTTTTAGTATATGTACATTGATATACAAATGAATAGTAAAACTTTTTAAATAGACAAAAAAAAGGAAAATTCTAGGAAGTATTTGGTTGCATATGGTAAAAAAAAGAGTCAGGCATATCATAAAAAATGAGCTTATTCCTTATTCATAGTCAATTGTGATAGAATCTAACGACCCTTTTGGGTAGAAGCTTTGGAATAAATTAGATAGTTAACTTATATTCTACTATTTGAATATAGTATGAAAATTGAATGTAAAATGTTTCAAAGGTTTTTCAAAACAAACAAGGAGAAACTGAATAAAGTAGACTGAAGGAGAAAGTTTAGTATTCACATATTGCGAAATAGTAAACATTAGAATCATTATACTCCTCCTATTAGGTTATTTGAATATGAAAAGTAAGATATAGTAGCATAATCTATAGATTATATCTAAACAGTAAGCATTGTTAATTAAAACATATAACTTACATACTATCTATAAATTCCCAATTGAAATCTGTTGTTTTCTTTATTTACTTTCTCTCTCTCTCTCTGTAAGTGAACTAGTTTTTTGTTAATTAAGATTCCAAGGCTACTGAACTTTGACAGCTACACTGCTTCACAGTCGGCTCCTTAATTAATATATTTACTGGACAAAAGAAAAAATAAGAATTATTATAAAAACTTTTACTCCTTTACTATCTAATTATCTAAAATTTAAAATAGGAAATTACTTCCTTAAACTCCTTTCCTTTATTCACATGAAGAGAATAATTTTTTCTCTACTATAATAAAGTTATTTTGCTAAACTAGTTAATTATTTAAAAAAGGAGGCCGAAAATAGAAAATAAAAGTCAATTTGATTGAAAGTTTATTTATTTCTGAGAAAAAAAAGTCAAACTATTTTGTATTCTTTGATGGTTTAACGTTGATTTTTTGTTCTCTTTATTGGTTTTAAAAGTTTTTTAAGTAAAATATAAAGAGTTAAAAAGATGGAAACTGTTGGCATATACTATATTTAATAATAAATAATGATTTCTAATAGATATTATATTCAACATATAAGTTTCTTTTTTAATTTCTCCTAAAGCAATTGTAATAAGGAAAACCTCTAAATAAAAATCTTAATTAATTATTCTTCTAAAAGTAGTAGCTCAGCATAATATGATTCACATAATCACAAGCGCCATCTATGTCTATTGTACCAGCTTCCTTCAACAGCACTTTACCCTGTCTTTCATTTCTCAATCGTATTCCAGCCATGAATCTATATTACCTACCCAAATCTCAAGCAGAGAGGAAAGCGAAGCCAAAATCAACAGTAACCATATTATGGTTCTTCCTTTCGATAGCAGTTTCAGCTATTGCCCTTTTCAGTTTTCTCCAACCTTATTGGTATATTGAAGGTAGGACTCAGAACGCAATAGGTATCTATACATTTTGCGTAAGGGCTATTCAAGATCAATTTCTGTGTGGAAAATTTGGTAAAGATGTTAAATTAAATGGAATTTTAAGAACTGTTCATTGGACTTTCGGTGCTGGATCCGTTTTGATGTTATTTACGGCCTGTTTAACTTTGATTAATCTATTCTTAAGGTCGGAAGGTTGGGTCTCCAAAAAGTTTGTTAACATATCTGTTGTATTCCAGATAATAGCAGGTTAGTTGAAAATCGCTAACTTAAGCTAGAAAGGTGTATAGTTGACGTTATTGCTTATTACACTATAAATTCAGATGACTTTTTGCATGTCGATACAGTTAGTTTAGGTAAAAAGGAAATAATTTGCAAATAGTTATATAACTTATTTACAAAGAGCAAATAACAAAAATTGCTTGTTAATAAATCCAATTAATCTCTTGTTGCAAAGTAACTTAAGTGAAAATAGAAGGATGCCTAAATGGTTAACTACAATATCGTTGTTAAGTTGAAATTTTCTACTCAATTTAACGATAAATAGACATACAACAAAGGAATTATGTAAATGAAACAAGATTTCTAATAGTTTTAAATAATTTTCTATACAATACCATTCTAAACGCATCTATAGAAATTATCTCTATTTTCTTACGTCTTTTACAACTAATTAATATCAGTCTTTGAAAAAGAGAATAGAAAGTAGAATAAGACAACGTTTAATTATTTATTAAGTCGTTAATTTATGTCTTTTCTTTTCGTTTTTTTTATTTATCAACAGTTATTCTACTATTAATTGGCTTAGCCCTAGTACCAGCTGGCCTGGAATCGAAATTCTTTCATCACTTTTGTTCAAAAACGAAACAATGTCATATGGGTTGGACTTATATGATGGCTGTAACGGGTACTGCTCTGGCAATCTTCTGTCCAATTTTGGCAAAGTATACGAATGCTCCGTCATTCGTTACAGAAAGTATCGATGACTAACATCCCTTTGTGTCTGTGAATAAGAAAAAAATGGAAAAATATGTAAATGAAACGGGGCAATAACTTTGGAATTCGTGAGCAGATGCTGACGCAGATTGAACGTAAATTTCCGGGCCGTCTTTCCGCCGTTGACGCGTAACTAACACGTTTTTCCCTATAACCGTCTTTTTTCCTCTTAATTTAAATATTTTCTGATCTTCCCTATCTACTCATTTGTTTTCTTTCTTTAATGTTAACAGCATATAGCTGTTTTTTAAAATACCATATAACCTGATTTTTTTGTCTCTTTCATTGTCTTATCTGTCTATATTGTTTTCCTGTGTTCCTCTCTTCTCCTTTTTTTCCAACCATCTATTAATTAAGACGGTTTTTTGTCGTTTTAGTCGATAATTTTCTGTTTCTCCGTACTTTAGTTTGTTCGCCTCGTTGATTTTGTTAAGTGCAATCGATTACGCAATTATCCAATGTTTTTTGTTTGCCAACATATTTTTACTGTCGTTGAAAAACAACTTTCAAATATGAATTATTAAGAAATACTTTGATAGAGATATTTAGATTTTACCAGTATTTTTTACAATCTTTTTTTACAGAATATGTAAATATATAAGTATATACTGTCTATACTTTACAAACAGTATACAGTATATACAGTATATACAAGTATTAATCTATATTCATTTATCTTTGAATATTCGTTATAACATTTAATAAATAAATTAAATTAATTGATGATAAATGAGAATTATCATTATTATCATTATTATTATTATTATTGCAAATTGAGTTGATTTAAATGAAATAGAGAAAGAGATTTGATAGTAAGACATTAGTTTAATAGAAGTGAAACGTATAACTGCGGAAGAGGAGATTCTTGCTTATGGGTAGAAAATGCAAATCTAGTATAATTATCTTTAATCATAGGGGAATATATCTTAGCGTATCAATTCTAATGTTCCTGGAAATTCAAAGAGAATTACGTAAATCTCTTAATCCATCTAAATTGTCAAGCTAATTTCGTAATAGGTAACGAAGATGAGATTTTTCTAGAGTAATTAACAATCTAATTCCTTCAAAGTGACATTTATAGTCTTTCTCTGTTTGAATTTTTACCATCTAATACACGGTATATAACAATGTATATACTATATACAGTATATAAGTCTACATACACCCACACACATCCTTACTCTCCTCTCTCTTTCTTCTTTCAAAGTATACATTTACTGCTTAAATGATATAGTGTGTATATACAATATACTGTATAACTAAAACATACTACAACTTCTGCTAATGTCTAAAAGACTAGACAGATTAAGCTTAAATGAAATATGTATAATTTAATAAATCAAATGAATATTAAGGTTAGCTTACAGTCTTCTTGGAAAAAGATTCGCTTTTCCTGAGTGAAGAAGGCAAGATAATTTATATTATTATTTGAACTTGGGGAAATATGATAAAATATAAGAACTATACTGGAAAATTATTGCTACTTTCCCCTAAGTTTACACTCCATCTATATGATTATAAAAATTGGATATAAATTGATTGGTACATTTTCTTATCTGTGTGACATTTACAAAACTATTGACCATGAAGAATGTATTCTTTACCCATCATTAATCACTTGTTACGCTTGGCACGATTAAATATATCATATGCTATTTAATATTGTACATTTTAGCTCTCTTTGTTTATATTAGTATAATGCTTATAGTAAAATAATTATTAATTTAATTTACATATGTAAATATATTCTCTTCTTTTAAACCAATAAATCTCTATTTAATTAGCAATTTAACTATAAAAAAAATGTGTTGTACATTGGAATTCAATGTTTTGATGACATTTCGTATTTAACCTATTGCAGGAAGAAAGAAAATAGAATTACGTTTGAATAGATTTAAATATTTTTTCACTCTATTCTTTCTATTTATTTTACAACTTTGAAAGAAGTTCATTGATAAAAACTTCCATAGAAAATTGTTTTTAATAGTATTCTTTAGTAATTCCTTTATAACTAATGATGAAAATGTTCCCTACCTATGAGTTATTTTTTACTTGACCTTTTTTTTTATATAGGGAAGAGTTTTTGCGGTAATACAGATACAACGTATATTGATTAATGCTAAACAAATGAGTTTCTATAAGAACTAAAGGAAAGCTTTTAAGTACTGATGAAATATTTTATTGTCAAAATGATTTGTCTAAGTCTCTTTGCATTAGTGCATATCTATATTTGTTAATCCATATAACGCCTCAAATATGTTACAATTAGACATATATAATTATTTGAATAAATGAATATTCTTGCATTTTAATTACTCTGATATTTACTATTGGATTTCCGTCAAACCTTTTCATATATCTGGAATAAATTCACAGATTTGATTAATGTTTTCTGTTATCCAAAAGCTAAGCTTGTCTTTTCATGTGGGATTCCCTTTCTAAGGTTTGACACTGACTTTCTTATTTATTTTATCAGTTCAATCAGTTTCTAGAATACATCGATATCGTTAAGTAATACAACAAACGTTGTTATTAGAAAACTCCCTTCTGACGTTTTTCATATTTATCAGATAAAAAAGAGGAGGGTAAGAAGAGGAAGAATCTGTAAATTTTAATGTACGTAGTTACATGAATCGACATAGTTGAATTATCCTAAGAGAATATCTCTCTACAAATTGAAAAGAATGTGAAGATAGTGAATTATTATGAAACAAGTTATCCATAATTAATCTCCTACGGCAACTACCCTCCAGAGACTCTCCTAAGAAATTATAAGGAAAGAATCATAAACAAGTTCGTTATGAATATCCCAGATACCATATACTGCATATTCCTAAAGCACTTTGAGAATGATAATTCTTCAAGTTAATGGTATTTAGCCTTGTTAAAATCACTTCTTAAAATAGATATTAGCTTAGATATATCCAAAAAAATTGAATGAGAATAAGTTATAGATGCTAACGGGGAAATACAACTTAGACTCTAAAACACTAAGGAAAAGGCGTCACGAGAAGCTAAGTCGATGAATGGGATTGATGATGCCAATAGAACTGGATAAAAGAAAAACGAGTTTCACGTTATAATTAATAATTTATCGATATAACTAACATTTATGGAAAATGGATTAACATTTTTCAGTCTAAATCTATTATGGAACTTTTCAAATGACATATTATTTTCCTTTGTTCTCCTCCATTGAAATTTTTATGTATTTTTAATAAAAGTTAATCTTCATCACTTGTTTATCTCCCGCAACAAGAACAGAATTAATCTTAAAGCCAACTAATCGAAGTTTACTGACCTTATTGTCGTTTTTTGACAAAAAAGGGAAAAATTACTTTCTAAATCTTTAGTAATCTATTTTAACTGTTTGGAAGACTTGTAAAAGACTAGAATTCTAAAGACGATAATAGAAAACAATCGACACAATAACGTTGTATACTATTTGCAGTATTTAATCAAAGATGTTGAAATATTAGTATCAAGAAAGAAGGTAAAAGTTGTACTCTATTTATATCGTTTCGGGGAATAGAAAACAGAGGAGAAAATATCTACATAAAACATCAAATGATAGAGATTCATTAATTAAAATTACTTAAACATATGAAAATAGTAAGGAAATATTTAAAATGCTATAGTTTATAAGTAGATATATAATATTTAGCTATTATACAATGAAGTCTTTAAATAGCTTCAACTTTTCAAATATATTAGTATTTTATATCATTTTTCAATTTAAACTAATTATAATAATTAAGATTTTACTATGTTCGCTAGATTTTTACTATATACTTTATTGTACTCTCTCTTTCTTTAACTTTCCTTATTTCGATAATAGATAAAAGGTGAGGTAAGAGGAAATATGGACGAAATTTCCTAAATCACTATCTACTTCAAAGCAATTGTTCCTTCATCAATAAATATCACACTATATAAAGATTTTAAAGTGATTCTTCGTAGTGCTTTCATCTCTGCTATAAGTTGTCTGGTAAAGAATAGCTATAGCATTTATTTTTAATCATGTGAACGAATATTTTAAATGTTTCATTCTTCTAATCAATACAACGACCCACAAGAAAACGGTAATGACTGATGGATCATCCCTTTCTTATGAAAATCATTAAATTTGTCTTTTTTAACGTATTTAAACATTTTTTAAACTTATTCTTAGTAAAAGCATATGTTTGTTCTATTGCTAATTTAATTAAATAGGACAGAGTCTTGTAATGCCTTTTCAGTAATAGAAAAGTAAAATAAAATTGTTAATATGAATTCGACAGTACAGGTATAATTAAATATTTAAAATGCATTTTAAGTATAATGTAAATTAATTATTCATATAAATGTTTTAAAAAATAACTGTTAACTTAAATCAATAGTCCAATTAAATTAAAGTATGCTAATTAACTCGGTAATTTTCTATGTAATTTAACTTTTAGTAACTGATAAGATAAAGTTTGAAATTTAGAAATATATATAGTTTGTTCTATTCTTGATTGATATCTCGAATCTCTCTGTAAAAGTTCATCTATTTTATAGTGCTCTAGTCTAATTAGAAAACGAAAATATTGTATATACAGTATAAATTGGTGTTTTAACTATAGATGGCGTCAAACTTGCACGTATATGAAAACGTAATGAGAATAATATTCATTGAGGAAGCTAGAAAATTTTACAAGCTAAACTCCTGAAATAGATAATACGTTATATATAATCATTTCTTTCTCTCGCTCTCTCTGTTTCTCTATCTTATCTTTTGAAGTATTGAATTTATCACTAAATGAAAATTTTCACTCTTATAGATGCTTAGATATATTAATAAACGAATTTTTACTTGTAATTAAACTCATTAACAGTACGTTTGCGGAAACTGTAATACTTTAATAGATTTCACTTCTATTGTTTGTTTCTTCTCCTCTTACCGTTGCATTCTTTTTAATAAATATAACATTTGTAAGAGCACTCCTTACGAAAATATTTAACACAGATAATTGGGCTGGTCTACTACGTTTTGGGATTGACTTAAGTCATTTCCTTAAGATGATTTCCTCTTCTATTAGATAGTGTAAGCAAATCTCCATTTATTTGGTACTTTTCAGTATATTACTCTCGAAATATCTAATTCTATTCCTTAAAGAGGGGAAGAAACTGCGCTATTAGAAAAATAATCAACGAAATACGGCCCTACTTAACAAATAGCTTTCCAGTAAAGATTTGTGGTGATTCGATCTGTTTGCCTATTAAAATTCGAAAAGAGCACGTAAGTCTGTATAAAAACTTTTAAGTGTAGGTTTTCTCTTGCAAAAGAATTTATTTATCAAAATGGAAACAAAACAAATTGAAATTCTCTATCCGTTATTGATTTAAATGTCAGAAAAGAAGTGAATGTCATTTTTCCCTTTTACGTATCATAGATTATATAATCTTTAAAAATTTAGTGAAAAGCGAAACAAATTTTTTAACTAACTAGTCTTAATAGTTTTAACGGAAGATAGAAAGGAATGTTGAATTGTATCTTATTACACAAGTTCTTATATTGACTTCTCTAACAATATCTTTGTTTCGGCAATATACTGTATATTTTGCAAAAATATTCGCAAGGAGCATTGACCTATTGCCGTAAAGGAAAATTAAACAATGAAGAATTGCTATTAAATATTGTATTTTAAGTATCTAGATATGCCTATACTAAAAAACACTTGACATTTTTTGTTGATTTCATAATAGAATTTAAATAATAAAGTAATAAATGTAAAAAACAAACAAACATTATATTAATTTGCTTTGCTATTTCCTACTTTAGCAAACAGCGATAAACGAAGAAATGACTTCAACAGTTTATCAGTCAGGTAAAAAACAAACAAGGTCAACGAGATAGAGAAATTTTTAATTAGACAAACTCTATAATTAGACCAAAACCTTAATAATAAAAGTTACGGATATGGATTAGGATTCCAAGATGAAAATAACGATTTTGGACATTCTTTTTCGGATAATACTATAAGACGTAGATTTATAAGGAAGGTTATAACTTAATTTATACTAATATATAATATTTTATATATTATTTGTTGGTGATTTCTAGGTATTTTTAATACTTATTGGTCAAATAATGATAATGGTTGCTTTAGTATCAATATTTACATTTATGTAAGAAATAAATTCCAATTAATTGCTAATTCTATTATTATAATATTCAACTTTTAAGCGAAGGATGTCATAGCTTTATGCAAAAGAATGTATGGTTAATTATAATATCTGGGTAAAAATTAATAAAATAGAATACATAATAATTATAAATTAACTATATAATATGTATAATTACTAATACATTTTATAAAGATTATGCTATTTAATTTGTGCCCTAATTATAACATTTTCCGAATCTATAAGAAGAAATTATCCGTACAATTTCATATTTTTATTCATAATAGTAAGTTCTATACAGTAAAAATAATAAAAATATACGATAATTTTCATTAATTTATCTATTTTATAGACAATATCCTTATCTATATTGGTTGCCTCCTTTGCAGGGTAATTATAAATATATATTTATATATTTTCATTAACTTTTATATAAAAATCTGCAAAATTTTACATTACCATTCATAGCTATTACAAGTATCATTCCATATTTATCGCATCCGGAGCTACACTTGTCGTTTGTCTAGTTGTTATACTCTTTGCAATATTTACTAAAGTAATATCTTTAAGAAAACTTTGTTTCTATTATTATTGTTAATAATTATTCGTAATTATTAATTCTAAATTTAACCTTTACAGCTAGATTTTACTGCATGTACATCTCTAATTCTTATAGCTTTAGTAATTCTTATACTTTTTGGCTTTGGTATGTCAATGGCGTACGCTTTTTCTCCTATTGATAAAAGAACTCACTTTGTAAGTTTGTATTTATTAATATATACAGTATATACTGTATAGTACAGTGTTTGCTTTATATTCATATAAATCATATAAAAACTACAGTACTTACAAGTTGTATATGGTTCACTCGGAGCTTTGATTTTTTCATTTGTAAGGCCTATAATCATATAATTAGATCATAAATGAAAACTGCTTTTGTTGCAGTTATTAATGATAGACATTCAACTAATAATGGGAGGGCGTCGTATGGAAATTGGAGAAGAAGATTATATATTAGCTAGTTTAATGTTATTTGTTGATATAGTACAATTATTTCAATATCTATTGATGATTATTGGAGCTAATCAGAGCAATTAATTGTCTTGGAGAAGCGTTTTTATTTGAAAGAGTCGTTGAATAAGATCAATCACTAACATAACAACTAGTTCCAACTACTATCAACACACTTAAGTGTTCTTCGAGCTTCAAAGAGTTTTCTTTTCGCGTAATTAATATCTTTAAGTATTTTCAAATCAAGCAATTAATTTATTTTGATATATTCAAGCTACGTAAAATAAAACAATGAAATATGTAATACTGTAGCATTTCTTAGTTATTATGTAACAATTAGATAATAAACAAGACTATATATGTATTTTCTACAATTAAAGAAACTATTCACAAATCTCTAAACACTAAAATTTTAATCTGTAAGATAATTCGGTAATGTAATTTTCATAGCTTTACCACAGTTACGAGTTTATAAAGGCTAAAGGATAATTTATTCATTTTAAATAAATTGGTGGTAAACACTAACAGTAAATTGTTAGAACATATTCTCATTATATTTAGAAATATTCGCATATATTCCCTATTTAGTTTTTTAACAAGAAAGCTCTTCAATTTCTAATTGAAAATAGTCTGTTAGTTGAAAACTAAATTAAGAATGATTAACGGGATATAGTAAATAGTTCAATTGTACTTTTAACAGATTAACTATTAGATGACCAGCATCTTAATTTTGCTACAATACGGAAATGATCTTGAAGTGTGACACCTGTTTCCGCCAAAAAAGAGAAGATGGGATGTTTGCTTTTAAACGTTACAATAAACAATTTCTAATATTTAATATTTAACGATGTTGAGTAACGGAGAAGAGAGAAAGAGAAAGAGAGGGGGGAGAGGGGGAGATAGACACTGAGAATATAGTTGACATAGTTAAAATATATATTATTATATGATTTTGTTATTAATTCATATTCAAGCACAAATGAAGATCTAAAAGCTTATTGAAAGTATCCTTTTATCTAATGTTTTTTCCCTCTTCATTTTAACACTGCTAAATTATAAAAAGCATAAATTTTCTATAGGTTTACTCTTTATTCTAGCTATTCAAGCAACGATTTCTTCTTAACTTTGATCTACCGATAACAGAAATGTTTTGTTGTAAAAGTTTTTATATTTATTCCTCTTTTCTGTTATAAACACACATACTATGCATACAGGAATACAAACAAAATTTCTCCCTCCTTTCTGTCTATCTCTCTCTCTCTCTCTCTCTGTTTGATTGTCTTTTTCGTTTTCTTCGATATATTATGCTTTATGGTTCAATTGCTGTTTGTGAATTATTCATTGAATACTATAATCTTATTCTTTCTTTCCTCTTCTTTATAAAAAAAAAAAGAAAAATTTTAGAATTCAAAAGAGAGAGATTTATTGAAAGTTTGATAAGAATTTTCACCCAGTTAGTGTAAATATAAGTTTATAGTAGTAGAGTTTATTAGTGAATGCTAAACAATAAGAAGTATTGTATGATAAAATTAAAAATTTTCGGTAAAAAATAACATGTTTGAGCAATTCGCCAATCGCGTATCGATTGGTGATAAAAATTCAACATTCACTATGTAATTGCTTTGTTAAAGATCAATGACGTTCTTGATAAGTATATTACTGTCGCCAAGCAACATACCTGACTCTTGCTCCAATATTCAAATATATATAATATATGTTATATAGAACAAGAAACCATGCTGTTCGTCTGAATATGGTTTTAAGTCCACACAAATTATCACTTAAACAAACTAATAAGGAACGAGAGTCGATTTATATTTTACTGGCGCGAAAGTGTTTTTTATGATAAGCCTACTTTTGCTAAGCCTCAATATACAAGCATATCGTTAAAGATTGTTTTATCAACTATGTTTTTCTTTTTCAACTTTTTCCTCCAAGACTGTTCTAACAAATTTGGATTGAAGTGATTTATTCGTCAACTAGAAGAATTCCTAAAAGACTAAATAGAAGTATTGTAACAAAGTTTCGTCAATATTGTCGTTAAAAACCGTAGACGCCAGTATAGATCAATATAGACCATTTCCTGTTGGAATATTGTGCAAGAAACAAGAAGGTTTGTTTAAGTTTTATCTTTATTCAATAGATATTCAAAAAAAGAGATAAAGTACATATTGTAAAGTATATAAATATAATATGTCTATAATTTTATATTTTAGCAGACTATGTGTCGTTGGGGTTGTCTAACAACTGACACGGTAACTATTTGCTTACTAATTAACACGACAGCTTATATATTATTCTATTATATAAACTTTCCTACTAATTAGACTTATATGTGTAAATGGTGTGGTACAAGATATTGTAGAGAGTGCCTTAGAGGAGATTTCTACGGTCAAATGAAGGAGTCAAATATATGTCGAAAATGTAATCAGGTACGTAAATTATATATAATAGTTGTTATCTGCCTATCTCTCTATTGAGAATGATTTATATAATTTGTCTATTTTGTTTATCTATATATACTGCTTATACTAAAAATATTCAATCAGAAAAGATGCCAAGGAAAGAGAGTTGAATACTATCCAAAACCAATAAGCGAAGACGATAAGAAAAATACAAAGAAACCGTCTAAAAATTCACCAAAAACAAAATCAGCAAACGTTCAGAAGAAAAATAAGGGAAAAGGTAGAAAAAAATAACAATTTTAATATATTTATATAAACTAAAGTATGTGACCCATATCTTGTTTTTTCTATACTCAATTAAAAGAGAATTAGAGCGAAAGAAGTGTTTATATTTTTAATGTTTAATTTACAAATTATTTTGATTGATACTTTTTTTTTTAAAAAAAAAACTAGGGTTATAAAACTGTAAAAATTGAAATACTTATAATACTATTTATTCCTTGTTCTAACATTCGTGTAGTTTATTATTTATTGAAAACAATAATTGAATATATACTATACGCATTTAAATAGAGTATACTATATTAAAAATATTATCTATGCTAATATATACAGGGAAGATAAATTCCAAACAAATATTTTTAAATTAGGCGGAATGGAAAATTCTTTTATCTCATTTTTGGTAGTGTTTGTGAATTATTTTACTATTGGAAATAAACCAGTGCATACATGAATAGTGGCCAGTATTGGAATGCAAATATACTAATTACTATATATATATATATATATATATATGGTACTGAGAGTAAAGCTTTTTATCTCTATTGATTCTCCTTCTTCCTTTCTTCTCATAAGTTTTCAAGATAAGAATTAAAAAGTTTCTTTATTGAAAAATTGATTTTTTTGATGCAATTTAAAAAAAAAGTAATACAACTTCTAAAAATATGGATAAACTATTAAAAGTGCTTATTGACGGTGATTCTTACAGTTCAGTGAACACTTTTGCGGATAAACTACATTTTAAGTATTCTACTTTTATTTGTTTAAGTTTTGCTATTATTCTCAGTGGAAAGAATTACGCAAGTAATTCAATTCGATGCTGGTGTCCATCTCATTTTACTAAGAATCATATTGCTTACACGAATAAGCACTGTTGGACCAGAAACACATTTACAATTAATTTAAACTATACAAAACTGCCTGAAAATGAAAGTTTACAGAGAATAGGCTATTATCAGTGGGTAACTTTAATTTTATGCTTTCAAGCTGTTCTATTCTACTTGCCTAAGCCTGTATGGATTTATCTAAATCAACAAAATGATATTTGTTTACCTTTCTTAATGGACGAAGCGAGAGAGATGTTCGAGGAAAGAGATAAGAGAAGAAAGGAAAAAATTCAACATTTTCTCGTTAAAAAACTATATCTAATGCTGTCGAAAAATGATCTTGAACGAAAGAATGGTTTTATTAAAAGACACCTTAAAGGAAATCAATTAGTTGTGATCCATATATTTATAAAGCTTGTTTACGTATGCGATATTTTAGTAAGTTTTAAAGTGTTGAGTTTATTTTTAGACATGAATTTTTACACATACGGTGTTGAATTTTTATCGGAAATGATAGCAAGCGGAGATTGGCATCTCTCCAAAACTTTTCCAACAAAAACTCACTGCGATTTTTATATAAGAGTACAAGGTAATATTCATAAATATGTTGTTCAATGTTCCTTGCCGGTAAATCTATTCCATCAAAAAATCTTTCTCTTTCTTTGGATGTGGATGATTTTCGTTTTAACTTTCTCAATTTCAAGTTTATTTCAAAGTATTTATCTTTATTTACCGAGAAGAGCTAATTTAAAATTCGCTAAAGAATTACTCGTCTTCGATTCGCTTCTTTGCAAAAAAGGCGATTCAAAGACTTTTGAACAGTTTGCTACATATTTTCTAAGAAGAGACGGACTTTTTTTTATACGTATTGTTGCCGAAAATCTAAGTGAAAGTTACGCCGCAGATATTGCCAGTGATTTATGGTGTAACTACTATAAAGGACACCATTCTCATCTCTAACTGATTTTGAGTGATTTTCTTCTTTTTTTAATAAATATAAATAATAAAAAAAACCAATAGAAAAAAAGAGTTACAGTTCTTTTCAACCGAGTTTATAAACTGCTTTAGAAGCTGTTATAGTTGTAGCCTTCGGCACAGTACGATTTTTATAATTCTTGTCATCCTTTTCGTTAATATTTGCAAAGTTGACGTGTTTCTTTTCGGTTTCCTCTTGAGTATTTTGCAAACAACCCATGGCAGTACTAGGCCTTTGAATATTCAATTGAATTCTTCTCTTTCTAGGCTTGGCAGATTGTGAAGAGATTCTTGAAGAATGGAAGAACAGTGCTATTGAAAAAGAAACAAAGTCAAAATATGAATTTTATATAGAAAACTGCTGTAAAATGTTTAAAATTTCATTATATAGAGTGAAAAGATTCTAAATGATAAAGAAGAAGAAAAAAGGATCTTAAAAGTGAAACAAACAGGAGTAGGGAATAACTGGACTTTTAGATTTTTCGGTTTTGGTGAAGAGATTTTTTGGCTTTAGGGTTTGATCAAATTCAACAACATCTTTCCATTGCGAACCGTCTAAGGCATCATAATTCACTTGACTCATTGCCGAACTTGCTCCTGAAGTCCTATTTCTTATTCGACTTCTTAAGCCTAGTTCGTAAGGTAGTTTGGTTTCAATATCGTAGACTGTTTTTTCCATAAGTTCTTCTCTAAATGAACGAACAAAGGAACAAGATACAATTATACATTTATTAGTATAATTGATGAATACTTATAACACTCCCAGTCGGTATTCTTGAAATATTGATCCAGTAATTCTTCATCGCTTGGATACTCTTTTAACGTGGGTTTAATTCTCTCTTCTAAAATGTCGGCATGTCCTTGAATCATTTCAACAAAAGTCGACTTCATAATATGTATAACTTCGCACCCCTTGCTAATTAACGATAATGTCCTATTTGTTTCTGGGAATAATTGATCAATTCCCTATTATGAAGATAACAATTATATTAATAATCCTTCATCAGCATTATATAAAAAGAAAATAATTACAAAGCATTCTCCGTCTCTTAATGTGTCAATTTTAAAAAATAGTCCTCTATCCATATCTAGCAATTGTAGTTGACTAGTTAAAGAAAGACAATAGACTTGTTATAAAAAAAAGTATATATCTATGATATAATTAATCAACCTTGTACCAGCATTAGATAGTAATGTAGCTTGATAAGTGCCATTTTTCCTCTTTGGTCCGGCATTGTCTTGTATTCTTTGCGAATTCTATAAAGAGACAGATTTTTCATTGGAATATATTGATGTAAGTACATCAATATAATATTATATACCTTTTTCCTTTTATCCAATTGTGTTTTTGAATTTTCATATCGTTCTCGTAGCTGTGAACCCATAGCAACAGCTCCTGATACTTGATTGAGAAACTTTGAATTTCTTACTCCATCAGGTGTTGGAGATTTCCAATCGGTGGCTTGATATTTACGTACCACATTTTTAAATTTTCCACATTTGTCTAAACTTACAATATGCAATAAATCGCAAGATCCCTAATAGAATTAGTTTTTAAATTAGATAATAAGAAATTTAAACAAGAAATGTATAAGACCTTTGTTATAAACCAAAGCCATTCATTTTGTCTGGAGTCTGCAACTAAAACTTTATTATGATTAAATTCTTCAACCCTACTGACATAACTCATTTGCCATATTTTATCGTCGGTTAAAGCTCCTAAGGCGCTCCATTTCCTAAAATTAAATATTGACATAAAGTAAAAAACTTAATTTGATTAATTTAATTAAAAAAACACCTAAAAAAATCAAATCTTTGTTCAGTTTCCTCTTGTAGTCTTATATGTAAACCTGCTTCTTTAAAATCATCTTTATCAACAACAATAAATTCAGTATCTTTAGCGCAGACGCATGTAGCGTTTCTTCTAGTATCTTTTACCAATGCAATCTCCTTTTAAATTCATAAAGACGAAAATTACAATTTAATTCTTTATTGTTCCTACTCTACTTAAAAACAAGTATACATACACCAAAACATGCCCCTGATTTTAGTGTAACCGTTTCTTTCCTTACGAACGCACTAGCGTCATCCTTATCGATGACTATATTAACAGCACCAGAAAATATAAAATATAAATTATAGCCAATATGGCCTTTTCTTAAGACAACTCTTCTCTTTTGACATCTGAAATTCGAATAAAAACTTTAATTTAGACGCTAGAGTCTTTCCATAACCGTTAGATGACGCTACCTTTCGTATCTAACAATTTTACAAAATAGCTTTTGCATTTCTGTAGTGTATTTTCTAAAGCTGCTCATTCTTATAAGAACATTTCGAATAGCTTCAATATCCTCAGGGCTTCTTTTCTCAGGTTTTCTTTCGAACAATGGTTTAAGATCTTCTGGAACAGTAAACTCTTTTTTTATTTTATAATCAGCCTCATTAAATTTAAGTTCTTCGTCTGCAACTCCATTGGATGCGGAAGTTAACTGTCGATAATTTTAGATAATAGGTATTTAACTAGTGATTTTCTCATTGAGGAATATTAACGAAAATATTTTAAGTAAATTAATTTATTAAATACCTTATGCCTGTGGCTAACGTTTACCAAATAATTGTCTAATAATCCAGCTTCAAACGCATATTTTCGTATAGCGATACATACTCCAACGAGCATTCTGACAATTCTACCAGCTCTAATCCACCTTAATTTTGGCTAGAGAAAAGTAACAAATTTTGGAGAAGGTAGAGAGAGAAAAATAGGTTAAATATTAATTTTATGCTCGATTTACCTTCAATCTCCTGTCTGTAATCTGTTAAAAAAAAAAACAGAAAATATGGCAATTAGAAACTTTTTTTATTATTATTAAATCTTATTGATTTTTCCTAATAGAACCTTTGTTTTTTTTTCTTTCTCTTTTTAATAATCGACTTACTATATCATTTTGAATTGAAATTTTCACATTCTTTCCCTTAAAATAGGCTTTTAACTCTCCAACCGACATATAAACGTTCTTACATCTTTCTAACGCCTTTGAACTAATCACATAATTCGGATTCAATTTTGAAAAATGTAAAGTATTCTTAGTTCTAACTAATTTTAATCTATTTAGTTTTATTTGATGAATTATTAAACTATTTCCAGTGTGTTCCATAGTAGTCGTTTTATAAAATCGGTTATTGTTTTCCCTAGTTACTTGAGATTCGGTCCTCTTTTTCTCAATTTTATTCATAATTTAATCGTGGTATCAATATCCTTTCACAAATAGAGTGATATGATGTAACAATAATACAGCTTATATTCATTTTAATACAATTTATCGACATTAATAAATCGATTCAAGTAATTGATAAAGAAAAAGAGGAATATATTTTAATATGATGAGATAAAAGTAATAAAATAGAAAAGAGAAAAGCTAAAATATCCTGGCCTATATAAGTGTTTTAAAAAATTACATTTGATAAGCTATCTATGCCATAGAGATATAATATTATTTTCCTTTAGGACTTTCTTGTTTTTAGATAAAGATAAAAGGATTAATATTTCTTTTTAGATAAAAGTAATTTGACAATCAGGAATATATTTTCTGTATGTTCTAATTGCTAATAATTACGGAACGGAAATTACGCCTTATTAGATTTAATCCTTTAATTTATCATAATCCATATCCTGTATAAATATTGTAAATTCATTCATATGCAGTTATATATATATATATATATATATATATATATTTACTTATTTACTTATGTTCCTGATTCTTACAAGGTTCGTTGTCATCCATTCAAAATTGTCATATAAAACTAGTCAAAAAACTAGTTTTAAACCTTATAAACAGTACCATTAAGAAATATGGCTAAATTATTATTTATTGATTGTTTAATTAATAATAATAAAAGTATTCAACTAAAGGAAATTAACACAGATATAATGAAATTAATAAAAAATATATATATATTTTTTTATAATTATAGTTATTTTTGAAGGACAAGTAATGGCAAAGTTATTGAAATAGGAAATATTTTCTATATATATTTTCGCTCATTTTTTATTAATATTATCTATTCTAATAATAATAATAATATATTTAAATACTGTATATATTTATATAAAAACATTAGAATAATAAATTACAATTACCTTAAATACAGCATGCAAATGCATATGCGTATATCTCTACTTATTCCTATGCTTGTTTAGTCTTCTTACACGTATTCTACTATTTTCAAACAATCTATGTTTGTAATTTATATACAAAATCCAGGTATCAATATTTTGGATAAAAATGCAACAATAAAGATTAATTATGCAGAGAGATTTATGCTGATCTAGTATATCTTTTATAAATGTAATATGATGGCTAATTGACGTTAAGAAATAAAAAGTCTACTCTTGTTACAGTTTTTTTTTTTCATTTCTCTCTCTGCACTATCATATACAAAATATGAAGTCGATCTATCGATTGTAGCTGGAAAAGCTTGACGGCACTTTGAAGTAGTTTAAAAATACCTTGACGCTTAATTAAGGAGGAGTTACCTAGTTTAGTTTACAATTATAATAAGAGAGAAATCTTGAATTATAAAACAAATGCAAGATTTGTAAGGAAATAATAGGTTTAAAAGGATTTTCTTTAGAAATCCTCTTTATTTCTTTATTTAGTTATTATATAATAAAAGCTAAGATAACTTTACGTACATTGATTATCCATATAATTCAACTTTTAAAATATACTCTAAATTTGAAGTTTTCAATGATAAAACGGAGAATTTACATCAAGTAACTTATTAACGATGAATAATACGAAAATAAAAATAAAAACCCTAATCTTTTCAACTTTATACTTAATAAAAGGACTTTAAATAAAAGTAGCACTTTTTGAAATAAATTGTTTAAAAAGAAAAAAAACATCAATAAATTTCCTCTTTAAAAATGGCTTTTTTTCTAGAATTCTGAATGCTTTTCTCTATAACTCTACCCTTCATAGAAAAAAAATAAGAGAACACAAAAGGCCAAGGTTAAATTTTTCCATTAGGATTTTTGAAACAATATTTTTGTCGTTTTCTTTATGTTCAAAGAATCAATAAGACCAATAAGAATTATGAATTATGCTTCTTGTTTCTCTTTTCGGCTACAGTTAATACTTAACTACCTTTTCTTTCTTTTTACATAGATATATAGTATATATATATATATATATATATATTATACACATGTAGCAATCGATAAGATTAATTCGTAAGAAATGAAAAGATTAAGACCAGCAACTTTTTTTTCTATGATAAAGTTAATCCAATGATAAATTGATGATAGGCCTTATCAGTGAAAAGAAGAAAAGAGAGAGAAAATGGGAATAATAATAGTTTTATTTTATTTTCTCAACTATCCTAACAGTATTTGTAAAGTTCCTGGGAATTCGTATATTATTCAACGAAAAATAACTATATTTGCTAATAATAAACAATTTAATAGTTTCGATTCAAAACATTCTGTATAAATCTATTTTTTTACGGATTTTAAGGTATTTCATCAGTTGAATGTTATTCTTTAATACGTAGAATAATAACCAGAGTGTTTATATCTATATAAACGATATAAATGGTATACTATTTACTTAACTTTAGCCCAAAATAAATGCGTACGATTAGAAAACACTGTTCAATATGCTAATATATACAATATACTGGTTTTTATATGTAGTTAAATTGCCTTCATAGTAGCCTATTCATTAAAAAAAATAGGTAATGAAAATATTATTATAACTGATCATAATAGTGTCGATCAAAGGCGTCACCTTATCTGAATTGAATAAAAGGAAAGAGGATATTAGATTCATTTGAGTCAAACCTAATAAGTAAGCTAATTAGGAATCGTAATGCTATTATTTTTGGAATGAAATCCTATACGTTTTTACGTGAAACGAATCATTAGATCCTGTTATAGATATTTCTATACAATCATTGAGTTATGATATAGAACTGATACTTTTTGTATCAATTCGCTAATTATGAGAGAGTAAATAGGTTTTATTTGTTAATTATTAAACATTTTACCTAATTATCTAAATCAGCTTTTGAAGAGAATATATATAGAAAAAATGACTATTTCCCATGTTCAAATGATTGATTAAGGGCTATTTAAACGCGTTAATTATTTAGACTTATCGATAAGAATATGTCGTGTAGAATTTATATAACCTTATTTAACATTCTAATTAAACCTACCTAGAATAAATAAATTAAAAACAATAACTTAAACAGATTACGTTGGATAATCTCGATAATATCTGTTTTTTCGTATTACTTACTATTTTAAGTGTTTTCTTAATAGGCAAGGACCCTAATTTGCTTATATCCATTTTGGCTTTAATTTTTTTAATAGACTCTTTCTCTTCCTTCTTCTTCCACCTTTCTTCGAATTCCCTTAAAAATTTACTCTTTCCTGAACGATTCTTATGGTTGATTAAAGTCTTCTCTCTTTCACTTTCAATCATTCTATCCGTTCGATTCGCGCTCCTTGGTCTCTTTCCTTTATCGACCATTGGAACGGAAGAGTCGTTTACTTCTTTTGTTTCATTTTTTATTCTCCTATCGCAACTCTTTGTCATCGGCATAGAATTTACCGAATAAACGGAAGAATTCGAACTACTTCCGGAAGACTTATTCGAGGTTAACAAGAGCCTGCTCATATCTCATGATCTTCTTTCGACAAAGTTTTCAAGCCGAATAAAAAAAATCATATATATATATATCTATATATATTTATAGAACAAGTGTCAGAGAGAATTAATACGGGACTTGAATAGGCCAAGCACTGCCCATTTATCGACGCCCTTCTATCGTTCAATGGCTGATTCTGGAATGTGAATCAGAACGTCAATGAAGAGGTCGTTTATAACCGCCTATTTTTCCAAAGGCAATTTCCTCTTATCAAGTTTCTTTCTTTTATTTCTTTCTAAGATACGGTCGATATAATTTATAAGGGGACGAATAGCGACAGGCTTTCAACACTCGTTACTGGTTATTTAGCACCTGAGTAATGTGATAAGGTAACTAGTTGTAAATAAGGTTTAATCGTGCAAAAATAAATAAATACATATATTTGATATATGAAAAAGAGATTTTTTTCTACTTTTCTCAAGTTCTACCACCTTTTGTTAAAACGGGATAATTTATTACTCGATCAAATAGTATTAGGATCGATCTGGCCGAGCTCTTTGTTATTTATCTAAAATTTCTCTACCGTTTAGTTAAATCCTTAAATAGGCCTATACTTAAAATAGTTATAAACACAATACTTAGAGAAGAGAAGAGAGAAAAAATAATAAAAAGGGGCTAATAGCAAAGTCCAAAAAGGAATGTTCTTATTGTTAGGGATATTGAGAAATGCGAGGAAGAATTGAAGGAGTGATTTGCTATTATTATTATAATTTTCTTTTAGTCTTTCTCTTTCTCCCTTTCTTTCTCTTGTTTAGCTGTTATATGTATATTGTTTTTCATAATAAATTCGCAATAGTTTCTAATTTATTAATTATATATGTTAATTGAATAAATGGAATTCATTTATTCTTTTATTCAATTGCTTCTTTTGTTCTTTCAAATGTTTCTCCTATACTAACCTTCGAGTTCTATAATAATCTAAACACCATTAATTTGTATAAAAGAAAAAAAAAGAAGGAAAAAAAAAACGACTATTTTAAATTTCTTAAAAGAGGGTTCTAATCGTTAGAGAGGTTCCCTAATTAGACGTCAATCAAATCTCAAGGTTGATTAAGTTTTTTGGTCCTGGACTATGATGGGCTTTTTCTTTCGTTCTTTCTTCCTTCGCTTTACATTATTATAATTCTTTTTTTTTTTGATGGAAGGAGGAACTTGGTCATTTAAATTACTTGAATAATAGAAGCGTAAAAATAATAAACTTAAACATATTAAAGCGGTACAAATGTTGTTTTTCTTTCTTAGACGTTTAACAAAGCGTTACTCTATTTAGCTTTTGGATAAGAAACTATAAAAGAAATGTATTATTCCAAGTATTTTATTATTATGACTTGTCTATTTATTGTTATTATCTGATTATTATTTTTTTATATAGATATTTTATAATTATAACCAATCCTTTAAACTGTCACAAGAAGCTATTAATTTCTCGTCTATCAACATTTTGCCTTTTATTAATTTAGTTACGCTTATTGACGTTCGTCTTACATAATCCGCTATTTTTGATAATGAATGATGTCACCTATTCAATTTTCTTGTTCATCAAAGAAAAGAAGGCAAATGAATAATATTCGAGGCGCCATCTATAATTTCTTTAAGAGTAAGAAAACGATATAAACTCTAAGAATTATTTGTTGGTACTTTTTCATTATAAAACTGTTATTTCATTATTTTACAAAAATATTTAGCTAATTAGCATATGCATAAGTTAGAGTGATTGAAATTGTAAAATATTTGAAAATAAGATCAAGAAACTAAGTATACATTCAAGCCGATATTTTTGTAAATAGATTTTGGAATACAATCAGTTTACCTTTTATATTTTTACACCAGGTGCAAAAAAATCTGGTAACAACAGGATATATAAACACACAGATATATTAATAAAAAATAAAGAAGTAATGGATAATGTATGGAAAAAAGAATATCCATCACTCTATAGACAAAGAAATATATTTTCAATACGACATTTAGATAGATACCTTCTCATTGGTTTTTTGAATAGGCGTCCTTTTATCTTGTACTTTTTTTAATCTTTGTTCCCTTAGAAATTTGGATTCTTTTCCCTTTTCGAAGGACAATATCTTCCTGTTGGAATCAATTGAATATCCGGTCTTATTAAACATATTTAACGAAATGCTCCTCCTCCTCCCCTTCTTCTTTTTCATCAAATGAATTTCGGACGACATGATAAGATACTAAATGAAATGTTTGAAAAATATAAAGAATTGTCTATGTATTCCATTCGAGTGCTGATAATAAATATTTACTTACGATGCTTCAAGAGCGATGATAGTTATTTAATTTATAAATTTAAATTGAACGATTAATAATAAAAAGTTTTTAAACTTGTGATTAAAATATTCAAGCTCGTCTCGTCTGCCGACTGTTTAGTCAATCATTTTTTGAAAGTGGAAGAAGACTGACTATATCTTTTCGCATTTATACAAACATAGTTGCTAAAACAAGCTATTAGCCAGTCTTTAATATAAAAAATGATTATTTATTCAACCTAGTAGCCTTTTCATATTAAAAACTTATATCTCTAAGGTATAATTAATAACATCGAGTTTAAGTTTATGTTTTCAATAATTAAATTTTTTTTTTATTATAAACTTTGATATCTCTGTCAGTGAAATGTTTTTGTTCTCTTAGCTGGTTGGTGCTTGTTTAATCAATCATTTATATTTAGATTATTCAAAATCCCCCCGTGTTTTATTTATTCACTATCAAAGCTTAAGAGATCCTCAGAGATAGAGAGGGAAATATATATTTATTTTGCTAGTTATAACTTTGAGTAATATTCACTAATGGTTGAATAAATATATAGCAAAAGAAAAGCTATGACTTAAAAAGTATGAATAAAGGTTTAACCTAATTTTTCCTTTTTCTTTTTTTCTTTAGAGAAAAGTTACTTGTTCTTTGTTTTCATCTTTCACCACCTCTAGCTCTCCCCACCCTTTCTCTGCCCCCCACTATCTTTTCTTCTTTCTTTATTATCCTTTCTTTTTGGAAGATAGTGATTTTTTTCCCTTGCTCTTTAATAATTTATAACTTGTCGTAGTTACCTGTCGTAATCACTTAAAGTTTTGTTTTCATGATACGTCCCACAAGAGGGCTGTACTGTCTGTTAACGAGTGACGCATCTGTCACTAATTACTGTTTGACGCAGGATAAATTGGAATTCTCTACGGTCCTGCAATGTTAAAGTAAAGAAACTAGTATGGATAAATTAATTAATGAAAATGTAAAACTATTAAAAGTATTTGCGACCATGAAAGTTAAAACGAGCATGTGGAAACCAGCTACTCTTAAATTTTTAAAGTCCCTTATCAATATGCTAGATGGCAGCACTTCAAATTAAAATCATTAGCTGCTCCTCGATCTAATTCCTCTTTCTTCTTACTTTTTTTTATAGCTCTATAATCCGACAATTAAATCAAGCGTCGTATAACAAATAACATTACATAACTATCGATCATCAAAAGAATGCTTGTAAAGAGACGCCCGCCCGTATATAATTAGAGACGCCACCTGTTTCGCTACGGCACAGGAATATAAAGATGTAATAATATCCTGTCACGAGCAGCTTATATGCAATGAAGATAGATAAGACATTGCATTTGCAACTCCATTTTGCAAAACCATTCCCTCGATAATCTCCGGTTTGTTTTCTACCTTAAGAGGTACATTGATAAAATAAAGAGCCATTTATATGCCATCTAGCGAGAAAAAGAAACGATTTCGACGAGGGAGGCTCTGAATTATTCCAGGATCCTTCGTGACTAGCATGAATTATTAATTAGGCCTAATTTAATTGATATTTCCCAAGAAACTAATGACACAAAGTTATATCTTACAAGAAATTTCAAGAAAACATATCTACTTAAACACTTAATCTTACATCTTATCATCATCGGTATTCGAATAATAGGCTATCTTCGGTAATCGGAAACAAGGTTACGTAAAGTAGCTAATTCTATCGACAAATAGATACTTGAAATTCTAACAAAGTTTCGCCCCCCATTTTTTTTACATAGTACAACTCTTAGCTCTCTCTCTGGCCTCTCATTGGTCTAACCTATTTAGAGAGATTAAGAGGCACAAATCGATAGTATTGTGTAGTTTTTCACTAACTACATAACGATACGTGCCTCAACATTGAAAGGATACGAGGATACACAGGGTCTCTGGTGTTTGCGCCAGAAGCCAAACAAAAAAGGCAATGGAGGTACTTGTTCAAACAAATTATCTGTTTAAACAAGCTGATGGGCAATAAAAAGAAACAAAAGAAAGAAAAAGGCAATTTCTTTTATTTCTTTAATAATTTTAATAAGATACGATCATTCATTCAAATAAAAATGTCATAAACAATGTTCCTCATTACCATCACCCTCATTTTTTCGTTACGTTCCATTAAATTTTCCAACAATATTTGGATTTACATAGATAAATATCCTAGACATTCATATTCCGTTGCACCATCTGCTCTTTTCTGCAATTGATCCGAACATACAATCGGTACAAAGGAATACTTATTTATAACGCATATTAGTAATTCAAGCTGTGTTTTCTAAAATTCACATCACCCAGGAAAAACTCGTGAATAAACAGTGAAAAAGGGTGGGGAAATGCATGAATTTATTATAAGTATATTTTTTGTTTTTTCCTCTTTTCCCCCTTTTTTTTCCCTTCTATTTTGATATTCTTCTTTGAGTAAGCAATGGAAATAAAAAATAATATAATTATTGAGCTTACCGTACGGTGGCGCTTTCTAATTAAGAAAAAGGGGGAGGAGATTTTTTTCTTTATTTTCACCTTTACCCTCCCTAAAACCTACTTTTCTCAGTGTAATTGTATACAAATTGCGGAGGAGAAGAAAAGGGAAAGAGTAGCGTAAATATTTCCCTCCCTTCAATAAAATAAAAAGGAAGAAGAAAGGAGGAGGGTTTGGCACTTAAGTTTCAGAAGCACTTGTTATGTTTGAGCTGAACGCTATCTATTCCGGCAGAAAATTGGCATTGTATTTATGTAGATTCGATTGCAAAGTCAAAAAAAAGGCCGGCGAATTCATTTAACATTCTAAAGACAGATGACGGAGTAAACGTGTTCCGAATTAGTTTCACATCCGTCAGTCGGCCCCTTACCTACTCCTGGGAAACGCCAGCGTCTCGCGTCTAATTGTTCCACCCGTATGTACCAGGGGGGAGAGGGAGGAAACGACTCTATATTCATTTTAGACAAGCTATTGTTGCTAGTTTAAGAGGATTAACCAAACGGACTATTCCGGGGGTAATGTGACGTAAATTCGTATCACGTGACATTTTAAGATGTCATACAGTCTCGAGAAATTCGCACAGGTGTTATCACGTCATCTCCCTTGTCGTCTTATCTTTACGCTTCGCGTTGTAATTTTCTTTCGAAACGCGCTTGAATTGCCTTTTGAAATTTCTTACAGATCATTTAACAGATACGAACTATTTCTTGTACCCTTCCCTCTCTATCGTATTTTTTCATCTTCTACCTGCAAATTAACGAGAAAATCCCTCCGGATAAAAAGAATTATGTATTGATTATGGAGGATACATTTTATTCTATATATGGTAAAGATTATAACCCAGAAATCCTTGTACAACCTACTTTTGCAACAAAACTGAAGTCATGACTTATAAATCAGCGAACAAAAGATTGAAAGACGTCGAATTGACTATCAACGATTACAAACTGAATGAAAAACTAGAAGACAGGAATTATTTCTACCATTTTTATAATTAACTTCTGCCCAAATAAAAGATTACATTCTATTCACATGCCTTTATTCGAATAACCGTTTTTAATCTCTTTAGTCAAAGAAAGGAAAGACCCGTTTCGAGAGTAATTAATCAATGATTATTCTTTCTTTTCTCTTTTTTCTCTCCCCCCTCTCTCTCTCTTTCTCTCTCCCGCCCCTTCTTAGCTAATTATATTGGAAAATGATTACCTCTGCCCCATTCAGAAATATAAAGTTCGAGATAATTATTCTTTATAACAATACAAAGAAAAAAAAAATACACAATGTTCAATTTATATAATTACCTATTAAGAGGCTTTTAATTAATGTCTCTTTTAAATTAAAAACGGTTATACATTCCCTTCGTATTACCATTAGTTAATTTCTTCCCTTATTCGGTAGAAGAGAAAAACTAATACAAAGAGAAAGAGTTTGATTGATAAAACCATCTCTCTTTCTTCAGTTATTAATCTATAAAGGTTATACAAGTAAAACAGTTTAAAGTTGAAAATAATTAAGCGTTTAAGTTTTTTTTAAGTGAAACATAAAACTTGGCCAGATTTCATGAATTACAACTATTTAATCTGGGAAATGAAAAAGCTGTTTACATCTTTTATAGCCTCAAAGGACTTGTATCGGCACGATAAACCTCGTTCCTAAAATGTAATTTTACTGCAATAAAAACTCGGTTGGATAACCTAAAAAAGACTTTAATTGTCAGGATTTTTCTTCTTTTTACATAAGATAAAAATATTCTCTCTCTCTCTCTCTCTCTCTCTCTTTCTTTCTTCCTTTTTTTAATTTAATATTTTCCATTAAATTATTCAAAAGTATTTCTATAAACACTTTTTATTTATGTCTCTTTTTGAGAATTGATTACCGCCTTGTCTTCTAAGAAATCATTTCTTTTTTACTTCCTGAAGGGAAGAGTGAGTGGGTGGGAAAGGAAAACTAAATTTGAAAAGAATTTTAGACAGGATAGAGCATTAGCCCAATCTTGGTGACAGACCCGTCCAAGACAATCGCGTCAAACGCGTCAATTAGCTTAATTCCTTCTACTTTTCTCCCTCCTACCTTCCTTTCTAGGGTTATCCTATCGAATGAAAAAAAATACCTTAAATAACGAAACGCACACATACACAAGGAATTTACCGTCGACCGAATCCTGATTATAAAAACAGCCGCCGGGGTCGTCATCAATCACGGCCGAACGACGTCAGAAGGAGATTTCAATACAGGAACCAACTCATAAAGTTTCAGGTCGCAGAGGTTAGAAGCAGGTGAGCCGTGTAAACGCTCTTCCAATTAACCTGTACTCCGAAACAAACGTCAAAATTCTTATGGCTTATATTGTACGCAGGCTTATTTTAGCTGATGATATGCTCGAGGCAAACTATCCTAAGTAGCTTATGTAGTCGGAGCTATTTTGAAGCGGGTGTTTTGCTGTTAGAGCATATAATATCTCTAGCTTTTATTACAAATATTAAAGGGTTTAAGTTCTCTCTGTTTTCCATATTTCAATATATATATATATATATATATACAGTATACATTATATATATTTATTTATTTATACAGTATTTATATATAGACGAATTTAAATATACTTTTATTCTTTTTTATATACTAAAGATCAACTTTGTTTTAAAGCTTATGCCTCTTTTTTTTCCATAAGCTTAAATAAAACTACCGGAATAAACAGGCCGTGCTTAAGTGTTAGTTGTTGTTGACAGGCTAATGGAATGATGTCGGCTGGTAGGACGTCGTTGCATCATTTTTATGGTCTTGATTTTATCGATGTAAGCCACTCTCTTCCCTACAAAAAGAAATAGTGTCCAATACTGATTAGATGTCTATATCGGTTAAAAGAAGTCAAGATTTACTAGCTTTTGCTTGTTAACTTAATTGTAAGGAATGGTATAATTAAACTAAATTTTCTCAAAGTCTTTTAATTTTAATTTAATCTTGATTAGAATTTAGGAAACTGAGCTAAATTGCATGGGGATAAAATTACGATAGAATTTATATTTATTTCTTCGCAATAATAGATTTATTATTCGTTAGAAAAGAAAATAATATGTTATAAGAAAACGTAAATGGACTACTGCCAATCGGAAACGAACATTTATTTCTTTATATAAGATAGGATCATCCTCTACTTAAACTTACATTACCACGGGAATTTCTTACCATATATACTCTAGTTACATTTTTAGTAAATGAAAAGTTTACAGTTTTTAATATCATCCTTTCTTTTTCATCTATTTATTATGAGATATTTAATATACAAGACTTTGTACATATACTGTATAGAATCCATGAGCAAAACCTTTTTTCTTCTGTCTCTCTCTCTCTCTGACTGGTACTAAATAGCACGTGTTATTATTTTTTTGTTAAATCAACCATTAAATAATATTAGTTTACTATCAATACCATTTACAGAAAAATTATATATACAATTCGTGTGTCAGTGATATTTCTTTCTATTTATCTCTTTCGTCTCCTTTCTTCCAATCTATTCCGATTTTTCTAGCTCTCTTTCTCTCCTCCAAAATGACTATTTATAGATATTTCGCATGAAATTATTAAGAGAACGCTACGTCCAATTATGGATGGACGCTGAAAACTGTTAATTAACGAAGTGAAATTGTGTTGGCGAATTGAATTTATCAACTTTATTTAGAATTTTGAAATTGCACCTATAAATAAACAAATCTACTTATATATCCATTGTTTAGGAGAGAGAGGATTCGACTCCCGGGGCAAGCTGTTG